CAGGCGTTTACACACACACACACGCACGCACACACACATTCTGCTACATGGAAGCTGGAACGCTGCAGGGCTCCCTGCTGACAAGCTTGGAGCGATGAGCAGGACCGATTGTTCTTGTTCATCTTTTTTGGCATCACGATGGAAATCTCTAATCTTCAATATATGGAAGTTCTTTTTGCCAGTCTGAGCATGTCAAGCGGGTCGCGGCCAAGTGTCTCCAATAACGCACAGGCAAGCTGCAACAAGTCTCACCCCTGTGCTAAGCATCAGTGACTCCTCGCCAGCACTGTGCTGGAGGGCCTTGCGGCCAGCCCCATGGCAGATCGGCCAGGCAGGGGGCAGCTTGTCGCGTCAGAAAGCCCCGACTAGATTCCTGACAAGGCCCTAGTGCGACGATGCCTCAGATTCTTACGCATTCCCTGGGAGCTGCTGTCAACATGAGCAATTCAGGCGAGGGGTTTTCCGTCCTCACGCCCTTTCCGAATCTCGTCTGGGAAGTACACCTTTCCCTACGCAGGCTGCCGTGTGTGTGTGTGTGTGTGTCATTGTTTGATCTGTGGTTCCGATACGTGTGCTTGGTCGTGCGTGCATTGTTCCAGGATGGAATACTCTCGGCGTGCATCACACAGCCGTTGCTTTCGAACACTGCCAGTTGACATCGTTTAGTTCTTTCCATCCCCAAGGTGGGAATACCGACCGCACGAGGACGACCCAGTTGATGCTGCCGTCACGGACCAAGACGTCTGAGCTTTCCTTCACGGTCAGCTGCATAGAGCATGATGCCTTCGGTCCCTATGCAGAAACAACAGTGTGTTCTGATAATCTAATATGGTCCATCGAACCAGGCTTCAGTACAATTCCATCTTTCGCACATGAGAAGAACCTAACACCAAGAGCCGAAATTCACGTGGCGACAAGGCGAGGCGTTCTTTGCGACAGGGAAACCAGAAGCCAGTATTCTGGCGGAAGCATTTCGGCCGAAGTGTGTCTTGCAGTCTGTGTCAGCACATCAATCGAAGTCGTCCTGGTGTGGCCCATGCCCCCTCCCTGCCCAGGCGAGTGTTTTTGTTTATGTCCTCAGACGAGCTTGCACGGTGGGTCTTCCATGCCGTAAGATCGACATTGTCGAAAGAGCCTGTGGCAATGCGAACACGGAAGAGACCCAGCCACAGATAGTGTATATAAGCATGTATTACAGACCATTACAAAGCCAAAACATGTTCATATACATATATACATATACACACACTCTTTTGTTGTGCTATATGTGCACGCACACATACACACACACATATATATATATATATGTATATATACATATATATATATATATATAATATATACATATATATATATACATATATATATATATACAAACATATGTATTTATGTAGTTGTTTATTTTGGGCGGAGGGGGCTGGTGGGGCAGTGTACAGTCCCACAACACAGTCCCCGGGTTCGAACATGTATTTCGCGGAGAGGGGGGGGTGTTATGTTTTAAGCATTGAGCCAGATGCCGTGAACATTGCCCCGTACCTGCATCGGGAGTTGCCAGCGAATGCAACTGTGATTCGCCTAATGGGACTGAATCCGACCAGTCAACGTATGGCGCAGCCCCCTCGCCACACGTTCGTGTTTCTGCGTGCATCCTCCCAGAGATTGGGTGTGCGCGTGTATGTGTGTGTCAAAGAGCATTGCAGCTTCGTCACTGTCAGTGCGATCGTCGTGAACTGGGAGGCCTGCAAAAAGCCTGCCTAAAATCATGGGAGCCTCAAAACCTTCAGACTCTAGAAGCCCCCACAAGCCCTCGCGGTACATTTCCTCGTGCTCGTTGCTCCCCCAGCACAATTGTATTTCGTGGGGGAGCCTTCTCAGATGTATTTGGAGCTTAGGACGACAAGGGACAACCGCAGCAGTAGTGAGAGTCGCAGCTGAGAGCAGAAAGTTTAAGGTTTCACCGCTTGCGAGGTTGCTCGGCTAGTCAACCGCGGACGTTATCGAGCCTGGAGAGCACTGCTGTGTCGCAGAGACCTGAGAGAAGCGTTTCGTCAGAATTCTCACGAGGTTTGAGAGTGCTCTCAACTAAGGACTGGAGCACGGGGTGTACCTGTGCGGCACAAAGCGAGCCGGTAGCTCAGCCACTGCCATGGATCTCGTCATTCAAAACCGCGAAAGATACAGGGCCAGCAGTGCCATGCACCACATGAAGATGCCTATAGCTACACGATCCGACACGCACACTCCACATGGCAACTTGGTCGTGCGTAGTTGAACAGCTCCATGGAGTTTACACTTTTCCTAGGGTCAACCGACAGAGAGCACTTGGCATGCTGCTGGTTAGGATGTTTTCGCTGCATCTCTGAAGTTGCGAACGTGATAGTCCGGCGGAGCGACACGACGACGAACCGTGACGACGGCCACGGCCACGGACACCGCCACCACCACGACCCAGACGATGATTTCCGCAATAATGATGCTCTCATCTTGTCGAGTATTGAAGCGGTTCTCTCATGTGAGTTCTCAGCTCAGATTGTAGGCGGGCTGTGCCGTACTGGTGGAGGGGTCGGTGCAGCTGGGGAACGTGCAAATTTCAAAACATGCACTTGTAATCTTGTTGAGCGCTTTGGTGAATCACGCAATCCGCCAAGAGCAGGTGCACGTCCGTGTGGACGAGGAGCAAGGCCTGCTAGAGGCAGGGGATGACGGAGACGGAACTGTCGTGCCGAGCGTGTCAAGATGCGGTCTGTTCCAGACTGCGGGCCGAGCATTAGGGATTCACCTTCTTAGCGTTTTGAATACTTTTTTTTAGCTCACGACTTCTATCATAAGCAGCGAAGCGCAAGACCGCAGATTCCGCAGCTCATCCGAGCCTGGGATGTCAGGCATCAAAGGATGGTGGAAGGACGTGGGCCGATTTGAGAGGGATCGTCACCTGACAAAAGCCTTTTGGAAGCATTCAGCTGCCGGGCTGTTCGGGCCGCCCCAAAAGGTCTGTTGTCTGTTGAGTAGTACAGTAAGTCTAAGATGGAGAGAAGCTGCATTCTCTTCTAGCGAATTCGCTTAGCCACAAGCCATGGTTGCAGGCCAAAGCCGCTGTCGGAACCTGGGCTTCATGGCCCAGGGACGTCGTACCATAGTTTCACAGACCGGGACTGTGCCCCGAGAGAAAAAAAGCATCAGTAATGTGTAATCCCATCGCCGGATCCTCGCATCAAGGCCCAAATCTCATGTTCGAACTGCAGCTCTCCCAGCGCAGCGACCGGAAAAGCACTTGCAGCCCCGATGCCTTAGAGAGCGATGGCCAGCACGCCCACGCTGCGTGTTCGAAACTAGGCTCACGCAGCCCCGCGGTACATACAAGCACACTTTGCGAGTCGACGACAGGGCGGCCTCCTTGATGTCCTTGGGAACACCCGCAAGCATCTGGTACGCAAGAAGAGACTGCAAGAGAGAGTGCCAGCTCCATGGCGAAGCCTGAGACAGGCTGCGCTGGAAGCCCTGTGGACGAAATCTGTGCAAGGCCCATCGGGAAAGCAGGGTTCGAAGCAATCTCATCGAACACGTCAGGTGTGGCCGTTCTTTGGAAAGTGCGTCCCTTCTGTTGGCCAGATGCCGAGTGACGGCGGCAACTCACAGAGGGGGCCCGGCCAGACGACATCGAGGTGTGTGAACATCATCTTTGCTTGCAGTGCGCCGCAGAATCCCTGGAGAAGCGTGGGTCCAGTGCCTCAGTTGGGCTTTAGGCGCACTAGCGATCCGGCAGCCGGCAGCATCCAATTGGTCCAATTTCTCGTGGCTTTCCCAGGACACACGTCGTGCAGTGCAAGGCCTCGCAATTGTTTGTTGTGGCCTTGGTGTCCCAAGCACTTGCCTCTCGAGGCATGCAGCGCCGTCACGGAGGTCGACGCTGCCGCCGCATTGTACCTCGAGAGCCTTTGCTCGTCCCCGTCGCAGTCGAGGACTCGGTTCTGTGACTCGGGAAGGGGGCAGCGTTGACTTCGAAGGGTTGGTGATCGTAGCCGTAGCAGCACATAGCGCATGAATAGCACCCCACACCAGCGATGCCCCCAATCCACTTCAGACCGGGCAGCCCGGGCATGATGAAAGCTCGACCGAAAAAACCCTATATACACTTCCCTTGAGAACCGAAGCATGGAGCCTCAGCACTGACGCTCCAGTGTTGTCGTCCCAGCAGTTTGGACAAGAAAGGTCTGCTGGCATGGACAATTGTGTTGAGTCAGGTCGACTCGCCTGGCAAGTGGACTTGCAAGCCCTGCTGTTCAGACATCACGCGGAAATCTCGGCATGTTCGCTGCACTGTGAAGAAGCCAAAGAATTCAACACAAGTAGTGGGACACGACATGGCAGATCTCTCTGACGACACGTCCCCAATGGTGCTGCCTCCTCCCATCCCGCAGACCTGGCCTCAGCTGCAAGCTTCGGCATGCTTTGATTTGATATTTGAATTGCTGTGCAGTTCTACGTGCGTAGACGGGCTTACCGACTCCCTGGCAAGTCTTCATAAGGTCTTAAACCCAGCCTTCAGAACTTAATGAACGTTAGGCCGGCCAGACGCAAGGCAAGGGTCTCAGCTGACACGGCTTGCCGTCGCATGTCGCCGCACGGTCGGATTTTGCTCTTGAACCTGTTCAGTAGAGGTCACAAAGACACGTCACCCATCTCCTTGCCAGTTAGTTCCCATCAAGAACCCGAGCATTTCGGGCCGCAGATACAAGGATCCATCCTGCAGCAACCACGCTCCAGATGCACCTGGCAAAGAGAGGCGAGTCCTTCTTTTTCTCTACATGAATCTCAGCAGGGTAGAGCTACCCAGCTACCCGTGTTCAGGCTTGGCAAGACGAAGCTTGGCGCTGCAGTGCGCAGCCAGCCGAGCTTGGACCCCACTGTGATTAGCCTTTCAAGCACGAGCCGGGCGTGCAAAGCAGCTCTGTGCGCACCGAGATGTCTCTCCGAACACTCCAAGCTCCGTCATTGAGAGCATGGAGAAGGTGCCGCAAGAGGATGCCGTGTGCTCAGATGTGCGATGTTGGCAGTACCTTTCATCTTTGGTCGAGTGGGTGCAAGTCCCAGGCTCTCCGCTGCGGACAGTGCGAGGCTTTGGACTTGCTGGAAGTATTCAGTAGACTATTCCGTCAACAGCAGCTCGATCTGTTCCTTTGGTGAACATCGCCAGGACGGCCCAGCGGAGATCCACTGTGATCAGTGCCAGGAAACCTTCTGCAAAGGACCTTGCTGCAACGGCGGTGTTGGTAGCGAACGCCGTGCTTAGCGTGCACACAGGAAAGGAGACGCAATCGAGAAGAGCAATTTTGCCAGAAACTGCTCATCAGAAACTGACGCACATCAGACAAGGTGCATCGGAAACCACCCCGCATCAGAAACTGTGCATCAGAAACCGGTGTGATCCGGCGTGTATGAGAATCTGCAGATCAGAAATTAGCGTGCATCAGAAACCAGCACGTATCAAAACTGGAGGCACGTATCAGAAACTAGACTTACCAAACTAGTGCGGGAGCTTAGCAGCCATGCTGGGGTGGTGAGAAGATAGCATCCATGGCCGAACCATGATATCGGCATGATCTAATGCGTTCTGAGAAGAGCCAGCCATGATGACTCCCGTGGTGAATGCGTTCTGAGCCCAAAGCATCCATAACCCAACCATGACAACGGCGCATGGTCTGCTGCAATCTGACAAGAGAGCATTCATGGGGGGCGGGGGGGCAATGATCACGTCCATGGTCTAATGCGTTCTGAGCATCCGGGGTGCGCGGGGGAAGATGCCGTCCGAGTAGAGCATCCATGGCCCCACCATGGTACCGTCCATTAATGTCGGGAGGGGTGGGTCCTGCTGTCGGCGGCTTGCTCCTTTTGGCAATGAGCGCAGCCTCATTTTGTAAGGCCGAACGACAATCGACCGTAACTTTACATGTATGTTCATGTAAGCCAAGCTCCTACAATCTATGCAATATAATATATATATATATATATATATATATATATTTTATATACCTATATAACGAAGCGTTGAGATGTTAGCCCTGCTCGGCCCTTGGGCCCGCGATGTTCCTGCTAACCGTTTTCGAATCACGGCGTGCTGGTTTCCGAATCATGGCTCGTTGGTGTCTGATTCAACCGCTCTGGTTACCGATTTTTCCGCCGCCCCAGTTAAGAAGCAGCTCCCGGGTTATGCCCCGCCAGCCCGAGTGCATATTGCCGGTCCCCGACTTTGACGGCTCGTGTCAGTACTGTTGCCAGTTGCAGTTGGCTCTTTAGGGCTGAGAAAATGTCGCTCCTTCAGCTTGCAGCACAAGCCATTTGTAGGATGAGTGGTTTGAGGTTTCGAGGTTTAGGGTTTTAGGGTTTAGGCTTCAGGCTTTTAGAGTACTCCGATGGCTGCCGATGCCACAGGCTTGGCGGTCTAACAACCAGAGTTGGGTGGAATCAGGCTGTTGAAGTTGTGGACGGTCACGGCGGGGCAGCCAGACTTGTATATGGTCCTATGGTCTATATCATTCGGTATGCCGATCCTTGCTTGTCCCGACCGACCAACTGAGCCATCAGTGGCTGCTGGGGCCATCGCTCCCACTGAGTATTCAAACCTTCCGCTTGGACGTTCCTCCCCCCCAAGCATATCCAACAAGTCGCGACACATCCCCATCAACAATCCAAAACAATGCATAAGCAACACAAACCATGCCGTACCGCGTTTCGCCATGCCCCGCCACTACCGCTGCCCAACTCTCCCCCAACTTGAAACCTCTGCTCCCCGTAACTCCTCGCCTGGCTTCCCCCCGAACCCAGGGGACAGTTCTCGAGCACTTTTCTGGCTCACGGCAGTGGATGCTGGTGAGGTGTCGCATCCAGTGCATGGACTTGGGATTCGGGCTTGGGTCATACTCATACCCAAGCAGGGTCAGCAAGTGAGGCATGAAGGAGTTGTGCCGAACATCGAGGTTTGGTTCCCTGATGAGACTCCGAGGTGTGCCAGGGGTCCAGGTGCGAGTCCGGGGGCGCCTGTGAGCTTCGGAATTTGGCGTGCGAAAACTCTGCGTGGAGACGTTTCGCGTACACTGCAGAGCAAAGACATGCCGGAGTGCTCCCGAAACGCCCACTCTAATTTGCCCGATCTTCTACGATTCGCTTTTTGCGGAAGATCTGTTTTGCCGTGCAGGATGCTCGGATGTGACTCATCGGCGGCGGTCCTGGGGTAGTCCATACTGTGTGCAAGCCCGTGAAAGTACGCATTGACAGCTCCAAGGCAGGGCAGAATGACCGAGCACCGTGTTCGCCCGGTTACTTCAGAGCTCTGCAAGCCAGGCGTGAAGTATAACGAAGTGCCCTTGCTCCAAGCCGTGAGCTGAAGGGGTGACGGAGCCGGTTGCAGGTGCAAGAGCACCACCGATGGCTGTCCCATCGCTGAGCCGACGCTTCCATGCTTGTCCCTGGCATCCGGAGGAGTGCATAAGTCATTACAGCATGCTACTGTACCAGTAGCTGGAGTTGCACGGGCAGACAGCAAAGCTTCTGAGACGCCCGACACGCGTGTCACGAGTCATCAACGTCATAATCCTAAATCGAACTGCCAGCGTGGCCGTGCAGGTAGCGTGGAAGATGTGAAAGCAGACTAGGAAGCATCACACAAACTCAGAGCCATGTCATGTGGACGATGGCCCAGAAAACACAGTAGGTTCAGCGATCATTATGTCAATGTGTGTGTGTGTGTGATGTCGGGCACGATAGTACCGCTCCGATCGTCGACCTGCACAACCACCCACAACGAGAGCTTCGCACAAGATCATTTGGTCTGTCATTCCACAGTGCGCACGACAGTCGCGATTCAGAAGGAGCCGGTGAACTATTTTTGCTTGGACTGCGAGCCCACGGCCTACTTCCAACTATTGGTTCCTGCCATTGGAGTGCAGTCATCCGAGGTCGAACTGCGTGTGTGCAGAATGTTGCCTTCATGGAAAGCATCGCGGGCACTCTGTCCAATGTGTCCTGAAGGTGGGAAGTCAAGCTTGTCAAGTTGGCAGGATGTACCGAAGCTGATGCTAGGCCGTCTGCATGTTGCCCGACAGGGCGTGTGCCTCAACAGAGCTGTTGCCTGCCAATACCTGCGAATGGGGTTCCTAGTTCCTGAGGCAGAGGAGCTGTTGTCGGCCACGCGGATCGAGAGCAAGCGTCTGACGAGCATGGTGAAGCATCTAAGGGAAAAGAGGCACGGGGCTGACGGTGAGTGGTCCATGAGTCCATGCCCTGCTCAGCCGAGAACAGCAGGCTCGAAGCGGCCAAGCTGGTGCAGAGAGGTATGGAGGACCTGCGTTCTAGATCTGGGCCTGCCTCGGCTGTTGTCGCTCGTGCTTATGTCTCACAGACTTCGCAACAGGACTTGCAGACATCACTGCGAGAAGTGGCTGTGGCCGCGCAGAAGGACCTTCAGACTTGAAACGTCGCGAGAAGGGCTTCATATACTCCATGTCTGCCAGCATGAAACTGGGATGCCACCGCAGGAGGAGTCCAAGCTGATGCAAGAAGCAGATGCTCGTGCTTCTGAAGCAGTGGGGCTGCAGAGACAGGAGGAGCAAGAGGCGCGAGATGGAAGGACACGCAGCTTCTTCACGCAACTCCGTGTCTCCAATTCGCAGAGCCTCACTGCATTGCAGGGGAGCCTCGCGGAAGCTTACAGACACTTATCTGAGCAAAGGCCTCTGTCGAGACTGCATATGGCCTTACGTCTGCTGAAGCCCGTGATCTCAAGGTTTTTCCAGGTTGGTGATGCCGTGCCTGCCTTGACATGGTACGCCCGTCTCCAGAAGGATTGGATATTGCATTCGACTTTCCAGAAGATTCGGTGTCAAACGGCTTGACAAGGAGTTGCGCTCTCCTGACCCAGCCGTAGGCCCGCCGTAGGCAAAAAAGATAAGATTGCGGATGCACCTGTGGACGCTTTCACGTATTTGTATGTGTCGCTCGGTGAAGCAGTATGACATGCAGGCGGAGCTGCTCTTCAGCAGGTGAGGTTGCAGCAAAGTGCCGCTCACAGCGTCGTTTGACACAGGGGTAAGGGGTAAGGCTAAGGGGTGGCTTTGCCAGAGAAGGCTATTGGTGCGTTGCAAGGTTCCTTTTCGCGGACGTGCTGCCGACTTAAGGAGGCCTGCTCGAGAATGCGTGCGCCTGTCAAAACTGTTGCTTCAGCCAACAAGGTCACAAATCGTGTGGCATCCGTCAAGGCACCGCAGGCTGCAGAGGCAGGAGACCCAGCCGGATTGGTCTCCTGATTTGTGAGGGCAAGGGAGTGCGAGTGCGACGTTGCGCGATCGCTTCGTGTCGCTGTATTGATTCCCAGGCGAAGCCGCGTCCCCGATCTAGATGATGTCTCCAGCATTGTCCAACCTGAAGGTGGAATCACTGCACCCTTTACTCTGCCATACACATGCAAGACGGCGATTTCTGGATGTGGCAACGAATGCCTCTCAGGCGTCTACCCCCCTCATGACTTTGTCTCGTGTGAATGTCTCACCATCAAGTCCAAAGTGACGCCCAAAGAGGCACTTGTTAACGACATGGCCATTTCGCGGCCACTGCAAGGTTTAAGCACGAGCTGTTTTCCCTTGTCGCGTCGGTGAGCGGCGCGTGTGCAAGAGCGTGGAAAAGAAGCTTGATGAATCGGAGGAGGAACTCTCGAAGTTTTCTCTTTAGGCCATCGAGCTGTCGTAGCCTCATGCACTTACGCTCTAGGCCCCAGGCGCTCTTGAAGAGCGGCACAGGAACAGCCAAGGCATGTGAATGCAGCGGGTGATACCAAATGACAATTGCACATTGACAGCACGCTGGCGTGCTGCCACAAGTAGGTGACACGTTCATTGTGTGTGTCGATCCATGCACTGATTCACCGTGGTAACATGGATTCGCCATGCTTCCAAACGGAGGAGAAGGCTTGACACCGTGAAGGCACGTTGGCCAACATTGCATTCATACCAGCTCAGGACCCAATGACTCGGAAGGGGATTTCATCGCTCCGGATGACACAGGTGGCCTGATTCCAGAGCTCCTGGAATCAGCTTCAGTTGTACGAGAAGCGTCCGGAGAATTTGCCGGCGAAACACACGGAGAGCCGGAAGAGCTGAATGCTCCTCTCTTGCAAGAAAGCTCGCAGACAGCAGTCTTGAACGCCAATGCTGATTACTTTGGCAGTGCCTTGGCTGCAGATTTCACGTGGTAGCTGGGAGATTTGACCGCAGGGGCCGCACGTGCAAGCAATTTCCACGCCGCCGTGAACAAAGGTGATAGCGAGTTGTGGGACCACTCCAGTGCAGGGACCAGCAGCAGCGGCAGCGGTGAGTCCGAGGACACGAGCAGACCAAGTGATGGGCTTGCGTACTTCCGCTCTGCAGCCAACTTGTTTCAAGTGCTTCAGCTGGCAAAGCATGGGAACCCAAGACACGGGAGGGCCGAGAAGCGGGAAGAGCTTTTGTCCCTAACCGGGCGAGCAAGAACAGCGTCAGGACAGTCAGCGAACCGCAATCGCAAAGATTTGCTTAACGACAACAGCAGGAGAAGCACTGTTGAGACACGCTTGGGACTCTAGGGCTTTCGGATTGTGTCTCTCCTCTCGCTGGTCCCAGGCTAGCTTTCGGGGCCTCCAATCCAAAAGAGGACACGGGCATGCGGGCACAATCCCGCAAGCCCGGAAATGGCGATCGGCCAGACCCGCCATCGAACGAACGATTCAGCTAGCGATTACTTGCCTGAGGGCAACACAAGCGGTCATCAGTTTGCCTGTGCAGTGCTGCTTGCAGGATGTGGACTCCCTGCCAGAGGCCTTTTTTTTCTGAGCCGTGTCCGATGTTGGTGTGTTAACCTCTACGCGCCACGCATTAGTTGTTTCTTCGCGGAAGGCAGTGGATCGCAGCAAGAGGCCACCTTTGCTTCTGAGAGGCCCGGTAAGGAGTGACGAAAGCAGCCTGAGCTCCACAGGCAGGCGTTGAAAGTACGTGGCGCGGGCACGGAGTTGGCCGAGCTGCGGACTGATGTCCCGGCAGTTGAAAGACTTGGTTAGAGATCCGGGAGTTCTGATGTAGTGCAGCAGATTATCACGAGAGAGCGGTTATGAGGCAGAGCAGGCTGGAAGGAGGGTACTTGCTCCCAGCAGCCGAGGAGCGCCTGGTCCCAAGGGGTGTGAGCTCCGACTTGAGATATTTGGGCTGAGCGAAGTGATTGACGGGTGAGGCGAAGAACCCGACAACAAGGAAGAGACCGAAACGAAGGAGGCTGTGGAGCTTTGGATTCTTCCGATGTCAAGCCGCAGCTGACAGGCAACAAACGACATCGTTGAATTGCCTGCAGAGTATCGAGCTCGAACCTTTGCGGGCTTGGTCTTGGAGAGCAGAACAGAGCAAGCCTGCATGTAATCACGCACATTTCATTTTGGCGTCACTTGGGGGGGCGGGGGGGGGCAGAGGCAGCTCAACTCGTCGGAGGGCGTGGAGGATTCGTTGTTGTCTGAGGCGGCTAGTCGTCGACGACGTGACGGCTTGGACATGACTGCAGTGCTGTCGAAGAAGAGGCCTGCACATGATGTTACAACAACCACAGAGCCAACATGAAGGCGGTGCAACAAATACATGCCAAACACTGATCTCAGCCAGGCAGCAGCAAGAGGAATGCGCCCAAGTCTCTCGAGAGCAGCTGAAGAAAGACCCCGTGAGGAGCTTTCAAAATCAGCTGCAGCATTGGTGCAACCTTCTGAGGTGTTTCTGCCGATTTGTGCTGTATCAAGGCATCCGCTTTCCGGCTATCCTGGGAAGAAGACGATGAGTTTCCAATCTTCTTAGTGCTCCATCAGCACTTGGCAAGCTTGCGAAGTCTTGCAACAGTTCTTGTTCACAAATCGCGTGCTCATGTTTCCGTTGCGCGAATGCGACGTGCACCCATCGCCACCCACAGACTCACAGGGCACAGCCGAAACAGGATTGGAATGTGGTCTCAAGCAACTGCCCGGCTTACTCCCTCCCAGCTCCCAAGCAGGGGATCAAATTGAATGGACGTAAAAAGATTCAAGAAGTGGCCGAACCAGGCAATGTATTCGTCGCCACAATTCGCCACACAATCTTCGCTGCTTTCGCAACGTGGACATGTCTCCACTAAACAGCATGTTAACGTACCTGTCCTTGTAGTGATAGCTCGACATGAGGGCGCATCAGCTTCGAGCACCGGCAGCGATTCAAGCATGCCCGATGCTCGTGTGTCTCGCGCACAGGCGATTCGATCGCGAGGCTGTGCATCGCACCAAAACCGATTGAACCACCTACGATTCAAGCAAGCGCGTTTGGCGTAATCTGGCATGCTTGGGGCATCGGGGTTGACTAAGGGGTTTAGGTTTGGGGTTTCTGGTGTCAGCAATTTTAGGGTTTAGGGTTCAGGGTTTCTGTGGTTTCGGTTTGAGGGTTGAAGGTTTTAAAGGTTTAGGTTTGAAGTGTTTATGATTTTGTGCTTTATGATGTTTGGGGTTAGGGTCTTTAGTAGTTTTAGGGTTAAAGGTTATGTTCTCTCGGAGTATGAACTGTGAAGGGGGTTCCATCACAGCAGGCGCACTTGCTGCCAGAATCGCTGTACGGTTTGTAGGTCTGCCGGGTTCTGGAATAATTTCGGGTGGAATAGCTTCACCCATTGTGGCCGAACAAAGCTGTCAGCCGATGAAAGCGGGTTGCTCGGTTTCTGCGAACCCCACGACGAAGTCTCGTGCCTCAGACTCAAGATATCTCCAGATCCGGAGTTTCGCCTCCAGTTTCGGCGGGAGGTGGGGGAGGGGTTTGCGAAAAGCGGAGAGTGTAGACAGCAGTTGTCCGGGAATTGCCGCATCCTGCGAGTGGTTTTGGGAAGCTGCTACACACCAAGAACATTCCCAAAACACCTCCCGTCCCCGCCCCATCAGTCCATGAATTCTGTGGCCCGTGGACAAGCGCAGCAGGGGTTGGGTGAACAGGTTTCCGAGTTGGGAGTAGGGGTTGAAGGTGCTCAAGGCTTGTGGTTTTGAGGGTTCAGGTGTTTAGGGTTTAGGGTTCTTGGCTGTGACATGTTTATGGCGCTTGGAGCATTTCAGGTTTTGGGGTGTGCTGTGCGCGGAGTTTCCATGTGCGAAGCAAAGCCGGCAGGTGCATGAGCGAGACCTGGGGGTCTGGGGGTGCGGAAGTCGATGTCGCCGTGCGCGAATACACAGCATGAGTGCTCGAATCTGCTGCACGATTGTGCGCATCACGGAGATTTGGTAGCTCTTGTATCGCGACGTCACTCGTTTTCGCGACCCTAGAACCTGCTGCCTGCCCTGCACGCATAACATCCGCGATAGTAGAGTAACCAGTCAGGGCATTAGACGCCGGTCAGAAAGTCCGCTGCCTAATTCCTATCGCAGAGGTGCAGGCGACACTGGATCATGCGCAGCTCGATAAGGCAAGGAGGGCTACAGTGGGGGGATGTTACTGTCCGGACTCGTGACCCGGCAGGCAGTCCTCCACTACAGATCACTACCACCGGCAGAGTTCGTCGCTTAGCCTTTGCTCGTTCTCGAGTGCCAGAGCCCAGCTTCGAGCCAAGATCGCGAAGATACCACTGCTTGGTGAACTTGGCTTGCTGCCTGGTGTCCTTGAACCAGCCTCGTCCTGCCCGCGCTTTGCTGGAGCAGGCAGGGCTGCGTTCTTTGGTGCTGACTCCATTGGGTTTCTTTTGCTTTTGCGGACATGTTTGAGCTGAGGGGCTTTGGGGAACAAGTGTGACGCTTCTGACAGTCTTCTTGCGGCCTGTGCGGGAGAGCTGATGGAAGCACGCTTTCTTGTAATATGGCCTTGCTAACAGCGGTATCCGTCATCCGTGTTTCTCACTTTTCGATCCGCCGATCTTGTGTTCAGACTCCCCGCTCCGAGAGTCCGGATTTGAGGATTGCCTTTCAAGTTCTTTTCGGGATTCACCCCTCCGGGTTCGACTTCGTGGCTTCAACTCCCTTCTCGTTCCGGGGCTTGGGTTTTGGCATTCATCCCTGTTGACTTCAAGCCTCGGCATTCCGCTCTCTTTTTAGGATGCTTGGCATCCACGCATCCCTTTGCTGCGGCTTGAGGGGCTTTAGGAGTCCAGGGTTTCCGACACCTCACACCTTTTTGGAGCTCAGCGACTTCTTGCAACCCTTCCAGAAAATTTCCGGCCTGCCAGACCCCAACCCAGTAAGGGTGTAAGGTTTGCCACCCTCCGGTCCTGTCTTGATGCGTAAAAAGAAGAAACGCGCCGAGCAACCAAGGGGCGACAGAGGCCCCTCACTGAACGGTTGGCCGTCACGGTGACACCACGGTGGCGGTATGACGTCATGCGGGGGAGCGCCGGTCCTCACGCGAAAGAGTGCAAAGACATGTGCAAGCCAAGCAAAGCGCCTGACATGCCGGATCACGAACAGACTCCTCAAGCAGAGTAGGGTTTTTTGCCGCTCGTCATCGCTGTCGGGCTCAACGTCCTGATCACCATTGGCCTCAACAGCCTCAAACCTTGGCAAAACAATGCTACTCGCCGCGAAAGCTGGGGTGGGCTGCAGAAAGCTGGGGCCCTAGGCTGCACAGCCGCGCTGGAGACCGGGCTGAGAGCTCCTTGAGAGGCGGTACGCCGGCGAACATCAGGAACACAGACTGCAACATGTGAGCTTCGGTCAAGGGTTTTGCCCGCCACGCAAGCGGGGTGCAAGGCAAAAAGGGGCGAGCAGAAACCTTAACCAAATGCAAGTGCAGGCGACAGCAACCTTGTGCCCGTAGATAGGGCTTGCTCGTGGGATATCCCAATCGAACACGTGCACGTCAGGAGGCCGGAGACTGCACGGTATGAGGACTGCCCGGCCGCGCGTGGTTGTGAGAGTACAAAGGCGGCGCAAGGCCCGCGCACGCGTCGCTCTCATCACTTTGGATATTCTGGTGCCTGGTGGGAATACGTCCGTGTAGGTTAGGTGGCTCGGCGGTGAGGCCATGCGCACAGCACATCCCCAAGCTCAAGTCTGATGTGGCAGTCGCCGATGCCAACACCTCGGATGGCAACTTCAAAGCCTTTGGGCAGCTCAATCTGCCCGATCGCTAGTGCTTCCCCGCAATGGCTTCGAGGAGGCACGAAGAAAAAAACGTGTCTCGTGACACGCTTGGGGCAAGAGCTATTGTCCGTCTAGGGGTGTTTTCTGAGCCCTGTTTAAATCCACATCTATATAAATCATGCTAGCTACCAAGTTATGTACATGTGAGCAGAGCCATTCTCTCTCTCTCTCTGTGTCTCTCTCTCTCTCTCTCTCCCCTCCCTCTCTCAGTACATGTCCCGCCGACACAGTAACCATGAGAGGTCCACCGTTTTCCTGCCTCCTGTCTCCATTCATCCATCCTTGCTTCCTCTGGCATCCTTCGAGCGGTACTGCGTGAAATAAGCCGACACAGAACGCCAACGAACCACAATCCGTCCTTTCCAGTTGTGGAAACCTGTTGACGACATTCCGCTGCTTTGTACTCTCGGCCAGGCAGTAACCCTTCAACCACATCGGGCAGCCGCACGCATGAACCTCACCTACTGCCTCCTGAGAATTCGAGATCGACCCAATGCTGTGCTTGCCATCGATGAGGCCGCATTCACCGCCATTCACAGACCTGTTCCTAGCACCATCACAAGCACTTCTCACCGGAGTTTTTGATACTCTGACACACTACCGATGTGCCGCAGGCGTTGCGACATGCGGAGGAGACACTTCCACTCGCGTGTGATGCGGAGTTGTCAGACTTCGGGCAGAAAGTTAATGTTCGAGGATCTCAGTGCGGATCAGCACCGGCTGCTGCTGTGGACTAAGAAGGATTTCTTTTGCCAGGGAAAAGAGGAGAGTGAGAGAAACTCTCATGGTTCCTTCTCTATAGCCAGGACCTCTCGAAGACTCTGGTATCGAAGCGTGGCACTCCCAATCGATCCGGTTCCGTGGCCAGAAAATTCGGGACTCGTCTTTGGAACGATGCTAGCAGCCGTGCTCGAGGAACATCGCGGGGAAAACGGCCTGACTCGGGCTCTGCCTCTGGCTCTGGGAGAGGATCACCCAGGAGCTGCTTCGACGCATGTCGCCGGGGGGCGGGGGCTGCTGGCAAGAGACGAAATCTAAAGGAGGCGACCGGTGGCTGGTCGACATCAGCTCGCAGCCCAGCTCCAGCCAGCTCGTCGAGCTCCCTAATCCTTCCTGCCTCTAGCAGGATGTTGACCCGCATGGAGGCCCGGGCCCCGGGCCGGGCCCCGTGGCTCTTTGGAAACGCTTGGAAGCAGTGTCCTTCGACATGTACGAGCCGCATTCAGAAAGCATGCCGTCATGCAAGCACGAAGCCATGCTTGACCTGGCGATCCGAACGTTTGTTCATGCAGGTGTTTCAGATGCGCAAGGAGTTGGTTGCGCTGCGCAGCCATGACACTGCCGGGGGCTCAAACGTATGCGAGATCTGGCTCGAAAAGAGCTTGACTGGTGTTATATAGCGCGTCCGCAGGGTGGCGTGACAGTGCGATCGGAATGGGAAAACAGGGTGTGAGTCAGAGAAGGAAGTTGGAAACGCAGAAGCATGCAAATCAGGGCGTGCGTCAAACAACGACAGGTTTGGAATGGGTCATGTCGGGATACGTCGGCTTTAAGGTTTCCGCGTACATCGGTGTTCTAAAGTTTGGTTTGGCAGTTTTGGAATCGAGGCTGGGAATTGTCGCACTCGCTCCGTAGCTTTCTGCAATTCACCATTTTCGGATTCTCGCATCGCACGAGCATTTCAGCTCGGATTTTTTCCCAGGACCTCTGTGCAACCATTTTCCAAATTCTAATGCAGAATGGACTTAGATGTCAGTGGCCTTCACACCGGGCGCCCATTTGCGAGCAGCACTTGCCTCCCGATGCAGGAAGTCACTCCGCCGTGGGGGCGGCGGTTCCTCTACAGCCGGCTCCCAAGCGTTCACTTCTCGTCGGGCTGGACCCAAGGCGCACAGGATGGTGCTTGCTGGCTTAAGGCGAAGACTCTGAGCAAGCCATCTCAAGCAAGAAGGCTCGCAGCTTCTGGCCAAGCGCCGTAGGCAAGGCTGTCGTCCGCAGTAAACAGGCGAGGTGGCAGCCTTTGAATCCGGAGGAGACGGTGCAAGGGTACCATGTTCGCTGATGTTTGGGATTTCAGGATCCAGGCAGCAGATCCTTCTTGGTTGAACTCGTCGTACGTTTGACAACAGTACCAAGGTCTTTGTCGATAGAAGGCTCTTGAATGGCGATGCCGGTTGTTGCCTCGTCCAGAAGCTTCAATTCATCTGATCGGGTGGGCCTCCGGTTGCTTCTTGAAGGACGTGGCATGTCGTGACATGACGCTGGGCGAGACTGATACCGCATTCCAATGTCAGGAGCTCGAGGCAGTGCGCAAGGCGTATTCTGACATGGCGAAGGCCAGGCGGCACATGACTGAAAGTATCTCACGAAAACACCAAGTGTTTAAGATTGCTTCCTCGCCACAAGGGCGAAGACTAAGATGGAAGCACGCGAGCCCTGCTGATTGTGCATGTTGACAAATCAAGTCCGGACTCGTCTCAGGCTTGGTTTCCTTGCAGTCTTCCGAAATCTGCCATGTCTGGCGCAGGTGAGAGCTGGCGAGGCCGTGTCTGACGTGGAAGAGGACGACACTTCAGTTGTTGCTTGCCCGCGGCGCAGATTACCCAGGATCTAAATCTAAGCTCCACGCAATTTCCTTCAAAAACAACTTGAAGCTAGACTGGCTGTGGTAGTTGTGCCAGGATGCACATCACTGCACATCATGCACACTGTTGACAGGACGTCTTCTCCGACGATTCCCAGGCAGTCGTGCAGACATTTTTCCATGCCAGTCCACAGAGCAGTCGACTAAAAGCATCTTGGGAAGATGGTTGTGCAGAGGACGACGTCATCGACAATCGGGACAGTCAGATTGAGAAAAAGGCATTCTCTTGCTGCGTCCTGCGGTGGTTCAGTCAACAGGAAGATGTGTGGAGTCAGGCTGCTCGGCGTGCTTTTGCGGCAGTGAGAACCCTGCTCCCAGCTAAGTACTACAAGTGAAGAACCAAGAAATCAAAAGTTTTTGCTGGTGGAGCAGTGTTCCATCCACTCCACTCAGGCCTTGCATGTCACGAGCTGAGCTTTGGCAGAGACCACTGGCCGATCGGTTTTTGGGTCTCCACAAAGCCACAAGCTCAGCTCGAGGCAAGCTCTGGCAGAAGACAAGGCGGTGGCTTTGCTCCAAGCGGGCGAACTTGTGGAGGTCTCTGGCGGCCGCAGGGTCCTCAGTTGAACATCCCCATGAAGGCATCCCGTCTCTGCCCCCTCCTTGCCCCAGGTCAGATCTTCCAGCAGGGCGATCCTGCGTGCAGATCCTACAGACATGAACTGAACTAGTCCTACTGTGAGAGACAGAGCCAAATTGAGGGATCACATCTTCATCATCATCCAGGGCTCGGTCTCCATCAAGGCTGAAATTGGCACACCTTCTGGCCGGCTTAGCCAGACGAGTCACAGTGCAGATCCTGATGCCTGATCTCGGACCAGATGTCATCCCTGCCTGGGTCCTAGTCCTGTCGGAAGTTGTAGGCTAGATGGGCTAGATTTGCTTGGCTTGGACAGGTGGAGACCCTGTATGATGGGCAGGTCTTCGGTGATGCGAAGGCGGCGGATTGATGAAGTCTTAAGTCGTCTCAAACGATGGACGTGATGGAAGCTGGCAGAGCTGCACATGGCAAAGGTTGCTGCTTGGAGGGACGCGCAGGCTTGACACCCAGTAGTGGACCAGGGATTATGATTATAGATTGTGATAAGCATGCAACCTTCGAAATCGTCCGAATGCATGCTGCTTTGTTTTCAAGGAGGGTCCTCCCCGGCGCAAGGCAGGGGCGCATGCTCAGGAGGCACGTGACGACTTGAGCGAACGATGCAAGTGCAAGCACAGTCAAGTCTGGTCGAATGGTATCAACCTCGTACGACGTCACCGATCTCATCTGATGCGAGGACAGCTGCCTTTTGTCTGAGCCACAGATGTGATGGCCATGCGAGCGGAACTTCTCTGCAGAGATCTGACATTCCAAGGCGAATATGTGCAGGAGACTATCGCCAGGTGGCGGAGATTTCAAGTCAAAGCAAATCAAGAGAAGTTTACACTGAGATCTTGTGTGGGCAGATTGAAGCGCCTAAGCCGTGGGTTCTGCAACATCTCAGTGATATCCTGCCGCAGGCGATGGGCTTGCTGGATCACGGGAAGGATGCCGCCAATTCCAGGACCGCTCTGAGACAGGAAGCTGAGAAAGTGCGCAACCGAACGGCCAGGGAGAATCAGAAGGAGGAGACGCTGGAGCAGGACCGGTTGTTGGCACCAAGGTCAGAAAGCACAAGCCTCTTGCTCTTCAGCTTCGTCTGTGTTTCGGGACTCCCATGTCATGCTTCTTGACTCGACAGGACGACCAGGCAGCAGCATTGCTCCCTGATGTACGACGGAAGGCTGAGTTGCACGTCTCGTTGCAAGCGAGAGATTGCGCTGCACCTCAGCAGGTGCATGCATTGGCAAGTTCACCACTGTTCGAGGGGGCGAACATTAACAATCTGGCACTCCTGGCTTCCAACGTGGAGGCTGTGGACAGCTCTTGGGCTCTTGGAGTGTCAAGCACTCACATGAAGCGCTTGATGTCCAGACACCCACCCTCCCAACCCCCCTTCGCCCCAAAGCCTGCAATCCCGTGCCCAACAGGCAATAATCATTAATCACAAGAATCTTCTGGTGGCTTTGCCTGCGCGCATTGGAGTTCTATGACAATATGGCAGTACTTGACTTAGTAGTGATATGTCTTCGTGCATCGTTGCAGGAGATAGTCTTGCGGTATGATGATGTCTTCCTGGAGATTGGGCAGGCCGGAACACCCGCAACACAGATATCCCGCGGCTTTCTTTTGTGCAGACTCGTGACAAGCCCTATCACCCTGAGGCGCTTCAAGCTTGCTTCCTGATCTCCGGTGGCTATGTGAGGGTGTCCGTTCCGGTCATAGATCAGGATGCTTGTATGGGCAGCCTCGAAGATGCTTCCCGCATCCTTGGGATGGGGCGTTTGCCTGGAAGCCTGGATGGGAGTGCACAGAGTGGCTGGTCGGAGACGCCTCGGTCTAGACCTGGATGCAGCCCGCGCTCGGGCAAGCCCAAGGCGAAGCAAGACCTGCCAAGTCGGTTCCGACTGAAGAGCAGCGGTGAGCTTCCTGTCTTCCAACTTGGAGATCGACCGCTGCTTCTTCCACCAACGACGCAGAGCGCGTCGGTGGCCAGTGGAACGCCGAGGAAAGGTACCCGCTTGACACCTCGAAGGCCAGGCACACCACGTCGTGGAACACCGTGGCACGAGGCCCTTCGCCAGAAGCGTACGGCCCCTTTCCTCGGAGTTGCTCCATCAGAATTGGAGTTGTGCCATTTGCACGTGGGAGAGTGCTTTGGACTTGCGGCTCTGTATGATCCGAAAGGCGAGTGCCCGTACCCATCAAAATGCGAGGTTCGAGTACAGAGCAGCGAAGCAAGGATTATGGTGCTGACGAATGGCAGCTTGCTCTACTTGAACGAGACACTGGCTCGTACGTTGGTAGACAGGGCCAAAGAGAAGGGAGATCCGGTTGCGCCGGCACTGCAAGATATCAAGCGGGAGCGAACACATCGTTCACGCTGGACGATGCAGAAGCTGAAAGTGCTGGACAGGATAGTCATGCATGAGTGACTATGTAGATCAGCCCGCGGGCATAATACGTGTTTCTGCGGGCTGCATAGACGGAGCTTTCGACTGTACATAGCCAAGGACCGAGAGGCTCTAAATCCCACTTGGCAACACGTGCCGGAATGAGACAAGACGTCCCAATCGGCCAACATGAGGTTTCTTGTCCGCCGTTCGCCGCAAAGGTCTTGTGTTGACGGCATTTTAGTTTTGTTGCGAGATACCTCATGTCTTGCACCTGCACCTGTTCCCAGCGGATGGTTCCGCAGCCGCGGCTCAGAGATACTACCAACGGACAGCTGAACTTACATCAGCTTGAGCAATGCCACTGCAGACAGGTTTGCAGGATGTAAATTTGAAGCACCTTTGCACCATTGGCCCACAACGTGTAAAGCATTGATACACGTCTCCTAGTACGGATGGTATGAGACGGTGCCTCGCCTGTTTGGTGTGACCCTGAACGTCGGCGGCGTGCTGAGTTGGGGTCGTTGTCGCAAACCATCCGATATCATACTGCCGCAGAAAGGTGCCATGTCTGTGCTTGGAAAAGCCGCGCAAGGGCGGAGGTGCGGTTTGTGACATGGGTTATAAGCTGACTTCCACTCCAGAGACTCCAGTGGCTCCCAGGCCCTTGACAGCAGGGCTGCTTCATGATTGGGTCAATGTTGCCGCCTGGGTCTCGATTTTCCGAATGCCGGAGTGACGATTGGAGTGCCGTGCCGTGCTCTCTGAAGGCGCTGACGGCGATCTTTGTCCTGAGTGCGGCTGCCCTCGAGCTGGGCGAGGACTGGAACAGCCGCAGAACCGAGACTTGTAGAGCTCCCAAGAATCGGAGGAGTCCTCCCTCCACACGATCGTGATCGCCGTGACCGCGGCTTACTTGGTGAGTGACGCTCTCTGGATCGCGCTGCAACCGGACATGGCCCGGGCCCCGGGGCCCCGGCCAGGGCAATCAGTGGCAAAAGAGTCCTACATCGAAGCTTCGCCGAAGCGGATAAGACTAAGACGGAAGCCGCAAGGTGCTTAAAGGTCTGAGCATACCCCCCAGGTCAGGAAGAACAGGAACAAAATGAAGTACATGGCATTTACAATGCGTGGTCGCTGTGGAAGCTCATACAGTTGGATGGCCTGCAGAAGGTCAAGACGCCCGTCAGCGTAATTCTGCATCACCTGGTTTTGGCCTCGGCCAGTGCAACGTGCCAATGTTTCGCACGAGAGTGAACATGAAGACCCAGGTGACACTCATCGTCATCGTAGAGCCAATGTTTTATGTGCCCCAGCAGCAAACAGAAACAAGCCGGCAACAGTGCGATGCCGAAAGGTCCTCTGCCGCATAGTCGCTTGTGACGGCTAGCTTTATTTACCCAAAGAGCTCCATGGCAGTGCTGCCTTGCAGCATCAGGAAAGCCATCGCGTAAACGCGAGCCGGGCTTTACTCGTGGAGGACTCGTCAGCTGAGCTTGGAGTCAGAGGGCCCAGAGCCAGTTCCTGCTCCGCAGATCAACACCGTCCTGCTGACCCTTCGCAGACTCTTGGGACGTCCTGCCTGGTGCGAGCTGGGCTTCTACCTAACCTGGGTTCATGCCTTAGGTTCTCGTGAAAGCGACGCGCCAAGCGACTCCGCTGAGTTTCTAGGGTTGACACCGACTAATCTACTGGTAGCACTGGTCTCGTCGCTCCAACTTTTTCTTGAGGTCTTCAGGTAGCCGATGCTCTCCCTGTCCGAATGATGCTACGGGTGCAGCTAGCAACGACCGTGTAGCTTTGCAACAAGGGGCCATCTAAAAGATCCTTCAACATGAATCTCCATGTACCCAGCCTGACGCGGGTGTAGGTTCAGTAAGTTGAGGCGGTTCTCCCCAGTTTCTCAGCAACTGCCGAGGCTCTGATACGTCTCATCTGGTTTCCTGCTCTCGGTACAGCACTCTTGGCCGTTCCCTCGACTATCAACTGTCATAAGCGTTGTTCGAGTGCTGTGGGTGCAGAGCTGCAGGCCAGCACGTTTGGATGGGTATCTCCGCTGGCGGCCAGCTCCTCAGAGCAGCGAAAGCAACGGAGTTGAAGGAGCTTTCGAAAACGTCCGCATCGTGTGCTCCTTGTTTCCCCAGCATTACTTGTGTGTGTCCGCCTTCTTCCGTGCTCCCAGTCCCATCAGCCATCTCCTCCGATTTTGCTTTGAAACCCCCTTGAGGAAGGCAGGTGACGAGGGGGGTTATGTGCAAACAGCCTCGGGCCGCCATGTGCCCCCCTCCCCGCTGAAACCTTTGAGTACAGGGCCTTTTTTTTTTTGGGGGGGGGGGTAAGGGAGTGGAAAGGGGGGGGATACCGGTGAATGCTCCAGGCACAGTCGCAAAGGAGCTGCGAGCGTCTCTCTTTGGGGCTGCACGGGCATCGAAAGATAGATCAACATGCTGGGATGTATTGCATCGCGACAGCTGCCGTAGGCGCTTCCACCACCGCTGACGGCGCTTGTGGTCGAGGAGTCATTGGGTTTATAGTGTGGACGGCCGGGCTCCCACGGATTGCTGTCAGGTAAGGCCACCAGCGATAAGGAGCTACGCCTGCCCCCAAGCCAGACGGGAAGCAGTGAGCGCACGTTCAAAGAGAGACTTCAGTCAACCCAACCAATCGCAGCGATGCAAAGCTTGCTGAGGCAAGCCTTTCTTTCGCTGCTGTGGTCATGCTGCAGTTCTACTGGACCTGTGTGAGCTCGGCGTTTTACACGCGGCCGTCCTGGAGAATTGCTGGTAAGCCACGCTCATGTCAGGCGATGGGCCGTGGGATGTGTAAGTCTGGAGCCAACAAGGAGAGAAGGAAAGAACGGAGCCTGGCCCCCTGATCAATGCATGAGCTGCTCAGATTTTGGTGGACTTAGTGTGCGGCGTTAAGGCCTCGAATCAGAGCCGTCGGCTCCGGCGAACCTCAGGCAGTCAGGGGGTTGGGAAGCTGTGCTGTGGCTCCTGGCTTGCTTCCTTCCAGGTATCTCGCTCTGTCTCTGCTTTCTACTGGCTTGATTGCTGGAAGCTTGTCTCTTGGCGGCAACAATAGTGAGCCTCGTCAGCCGCTTGCGCTGCCCTTTCATGACCTACGGTGTTCGTCGTTCGACCCCCCGCGGTTCACTCGCTTCATTCACTGAGGTTGTCTTGGATGTCGCCTGGTACTATGTCTGAAGGACAAGTCCGCAGCGACTTGTAGTACTGACATGTTTCCACTTTTTCCAGAACAGGCAGCCTCGAGGTGCAAAGAGAACGCAAGCCTTGTTCCAAAGGATGCTGAGGGGAAAGGTCAAGATTTCAAACCTTCGTCCTGTAGTGCACACAAAACGTGTGGACTTCAATTTTGCAGGTCGTTGACAGACTTTTTGCAATCAGCAACGTTCCGCGCTTCACCGCAACATGTGCAGTTTTTAAAGCCATGCGTGCGACTCCTGTGCCATAGAGTCATGCAACAAAAGCTTATCCGCTTGCTCAAGACAAGATCCGACGATTCAAACAACCGAAGCAGCGACGCTTTCCTTCTGGGACCGCGGTTCAACACCGACAGCGTTGGCTTGTCAGAGTGCCAGGGCGTAGTCGGCAGTTGAGTGACACCTCGGCCAGCCACACCTCAGCCTTTTTTCGCCGCTTACGTTCTGTCCCTAGAACGTGTAGGTCTTACAGCCGCTGAGGTTCTCATGGCAGCCGCTTTTGCTGCGGCAAGGGGTTTGACAAGGACCGGAGACCGCGCAATGCCTCACACCTGTCGGAGCTGTTTCCGCAGGGCCATCTCAAGATGCGCGTCGAAGCGGGTGCCCGAGCGAGCGCTCTTCTCCCGGCTGTCGGCGCCAGCGCCGCCAGCGCTCGCAGCGCTTCCGGGCGTGCAAGCCTCGAGAGGGCTTGGGACATTTCAGAGCACGAGAGAGATTTGGGCTCAACCCCAGAGCAGGCGCATCCCAACCCCGGGTGATCGAAAAACCTGCGCAGTTGTGGAAAAAGGACCTTTCTTTGTGGGTACGCCTTACATCATCATGCTCCACTTTTTCGTCCGCTGCACTCCATGGTCTTCTGGCGACGTTTCTTGGCCCCACCGTACCGGCTCCTTCCGTGCTTCTGTGCTGTTGCCTAGGCTCGGCCGCTGCGCTTTGCTGCTCCGTACGTACAACATTTTCCGCAACTTGCCTGTCTTGCGCACCCGTCCTGGCGACATGTAAGAAGTCCGTCCTTCGGATCCAGTGAGGGCGGGACTTGTTGAAGCCGACTGGAAGAGGGGTGACGAATCAGCGACTGCCACGAGAGAGAGGACGGCAAAGGGTACGAGAAGCGAGATGCAAGCCGGGGTAGGGGACACCTTTCCAGGTGCGGGCGTTCTCTCGCACAAGCTGGGAGTCCGGCGATGATGTCGACTTGGATAGCGTGGCATACGGCTTTATGGCGTCCCAGGCGCGGTTCCGCAGTTCCCGCAGTCGCAGTCACTCGCAAACTCAGAGCTTCAGAGCTTGTCCCAACCAGGCGCTGTTCTCGGCTCTCGAGCTCGGGATTTTTGACAAGGCGTGGCCGCCTAGCCGCCACCCACCCATTTAACTAGAAAAGCAACAGACTGTCTTCATGTCACTACTTGTATGCCTCACATGCAAGTGTTTGCAGCCGCGAGGGATGCTGACACGGTGCGTGTTTCACCGAGCAGAACAGACAGGGACGGCGTTGACATGAGCTAGGTGACATTTCAACAACGGAGATCGCAGCTGCACGTGGCCAGGGAACCAGGTGGTACCATGTACATTGGAGCATCTCATCTGATTGCTCTATGGCAGTCCGATGCATCAAGCGCAGACACATCAAACAATTGTCTTATCACCCCTCTGAATGCCTGGGGGGAGGGACAGAGTGGGAGGGGGGGGGGGCAAGGCATATAAAAAGCCTTGCAGACCCCCGCAAATGCCTTGCAAGTTGGGTCATGTTTATCAGAGAGAACAGGTGTGTTAGCGAATGGTAAAACCTACACCCAGAAACCATAGACACCTAAATCCAGAAACATCCAGAGATTCACAACCCTCAAACCTAGAAGAGCCCCTGAATCCATAAACCCTAACCTCAGAAATTCTTAGACCCCGCAGTAAGCCCAGAAACCCTGAACTCAGAAACTCTGAACCCAAAACCACTGAACACAGAACCGCTGAACCCAGAAGCCCTAACCAAGAAACCCGAAACATCTGGACCCAGAAACACTGAACCCAGAAATCAGAAACTCTAAACCAAGCATCCCCGAAACCCTAAACACACCTACACCCGGAAACTTTAGACACAGAAACCTAAACCTACACCCCAAACCCTTGAAATCAGAAACTCTAAACCCAGCACCCCTGAACCCAGAAACCCTTAACCCCTGCATCCCGCACCTAAATCCAGAAACGTCCAGAGAACCTCCAAAACCAGAAACCTTGAGCCCATGACGAACTCTAAAGGCCTCAATCCCCGGAGACAGAAGTTCGGAAACGGCCTGGCTCTGCTGTTCACTCAATGACTGCGTGTTCCCCGTCGTTTTTCGGCGCAGAGCTCTACAAATGTTGCCACGAGGGAACGTTTTTGTCCGAGTGTGAGCGCCGAAGCCCAAGAAACATTAAACCCAGAAGCCCTAAACCGCTTGAGGCAGAAACCCTGCACCCCAAAGCCTTGAACTCAGAAACTCTGAACCCAAAACCCGTGAACACAGAACCGCTGAACCCAGAACCTCAACCCAGAAACCCTAAACCCAGAAACTCCCCAAAAACCTGTACCCCAAACCCTTCAACTCAGAAACACTAAACTTACTTACGGCGTGGTGAGGGTTCTGCTACATTTTCAAGATCTTGCAATATTTTGGTCGTTTCTTTTCTATGTTTGAGCAGCTGCTGTTTCCGAATTGTTTGTAGGTAAGCAGTTTCCAAAAGCGGGATATGTCCGTTCACATCGCTGCAATGCGGGGCGCTTGGCGAAAACAATGAACGTCGTGAGCAGCCATTTGCAAGCCACTGCACCAAGCTATGACCTGTTTGGGCTGTTTGTGGGGGGGATGCCCCCGTCCCCGGGTTGGGCAAGGCATCGTTGCATACAAATCCAGCTGATAATGCCTGGAGGGGGGGAGGGTTTGGCAGATAGAAGGAGTGATGATTGTCTTTTCGGCTCGGACAAGCGCACTCCCTCTATACCACCACAACGACGGCTGTCTTCGTGCATGATGTGATGATGGATGTATGTACGACATGCCGAACGAGTGATATGACAGTGCGACAGTCAACGACTAGCGGTGACATAGGTGTCAGATCTTCTGTGGCCGTCGAGGTGCCAGAAAGGAAGCTAGTTGCAAACAATCGTGAGCTTACAGACTAGGGTAGGCAACTTTCACAGATTCTTGGGCCAATGGCCGTGACTTTTCTGTTGCCGCTTGCTTGCAGCACTGGCTTCAGTTCAGTTCCTTCAAGCGACTTGCGGTTCAATCCAGCGTCACAGTGACGTCTTCAAAGCCCAAGCTTGTTTGCAGTGCCGCAGCGCAGTTGTGTTCGGCAGTGCACGTGTGCACCTTGTGACAAGTAGAGCGAAGCAGCTGAACTGTGACTTTCCAGTTAGAGCTGTGTCCTCTCGAGTTTTGCCTTTTAGAAAGCGACAGCTAGGTCCCGTTTGCCGCCATGGCCGAAGGACACAAGAAGTTAAACCCGGCAGTGATGGCAGCACTTAAGGTGTTGTGTGAGGCGAAAGAGGACGACCTGATGGACGCCCTTGAGGAGTTCCGGGTTGCTCACCGTGCCCGCCTGTCAGCGCTTATGGGACAGAGCGTGGCCGAGGGCCTTGACGCCTTCAAACGACAGGGCAATGACGCCAGCACGTTCGACCCGGCAGCTCTTGCAGCAGCCCTGTTCGGTGAGCTTCCGGAGGTGCCAGTGTCCGGACATGACCCTACAGCGACTGGTTCTGGTGATGTGCAGCCGGCCCATACATGGGGCCAGCCAGACGATGACGACCCACCTGTTCTGACTTCTGTCAGATCCGAACCCGTCAGACTGGACTCCAGGGCAGTGAAGGTTGTAAGTTTCGGTTGTGGGTCACTTGGTTTAAGAAGTTCCGGTTAGCGCTGAAAAGACAACACGTGTTTCTTGTTGAAAACGTGGTCACCGCCTTTGCCCTCCAGTCAGAACTCAACAACCTACTTCAGACAGCCGCCTTCGTGGTTGACGCGGCATCTTTCGGCTTGACCTCGAGACCGAGGCTTTGGTGGTCCAACGTGCTCACTCCACCGGTTAGTGACACGCCACGAACCCAAACCCCGCCAGTGCTCGCAGGTTTGGCGCGCTGGGGGAAATTTAACAGGACTTGGCAGCTTTTGCCTAGTTCTAGCTTATTTCCCCGCCAATCCGCAGCGGATTGCCAGTTCGCGACTTTTCATGAAGAGGTGGTAGCGGGTAGAACGGTAGAACTTTGTTTCCCTGCTTAACCACGCCGGCACCCACGTTAGAGGGCCGTCAACCGCCGTGCAAAAGAAGAAGGTCTGAAACCGCCGACTCCAACGGTGGGCAGCAGCCTCCCGGCAGTACCCCCCCTCACCAGTACAGAGAGCAAGCGTTAGTGAAAGTGCACGGCAAGTGGCAAACACCAGACGCCGCAACCAGAGAGTGGATCCAGGGTCTTCCGCCGAATACCACTCTGCCGGCAGGATCAGGCATCTCCGAGTACTCCCGGTGCAAGATGCTTGGCAACTCGTGGCACCTCCCGTCAGCCCGCTTCATTCTCTTTGTGCTGCTGGCCAGCTGCAACGTGATCCCGGTGACAGCGGGCCCAGTACCAGAGTGGTACACACGAGTGGAGGCGTTACCGTGGAGCTCCAACCTCAACCCGTTAGGTGCCCGGCCGATCGAGCGCGCTGCAAAGATCTGGCTTTCCTCTGGACTTCAGTGGGACCCTAGAGAACCCCCTAGTGTACACCTGTCAGGACCCACTGAGAACACGACGCAGCAGCACCTGCAGTGGGCATTGGCCCTCGACTCAAACCAACTTCACTTTTCTGAGAACAACCCTTGCCTGAAGTGGGCCCTCCAGTTCGGACAGAGCTTAGGCCGGGACCTGAGCCGTTGGAGAGAAGGGATCGTTCAGGACGTGAGAAGCCTGAAAGAGGACCTCCAGTTCGAGCAGCAATACTGGCTCCAGTCAGCACCTCAGCACGTTCAGCAAGTATACCGACAAGGTGGCGAGTCCCTGGTGTTGCAGCCCATTGTAGTACTCCACCTGCTTACCTTGTTCGAGTTTCCCGGCACCACCGAGGTGGCAGAAGAACTCCAGTTCGGTTTTAAGTTTTAAGGTTTTAGGCCCCCTCACCCCGGGTACCGGTTGGGACGCCCGTCAGGACGCCAAGTACAGCAGGCGTCTCTCCCGTTCGCAGTTTCAGTCGCTGAACGCCGAGCACAAACGTTCCCTGTATTCCGACACCAAGCCGTCGGAACATACAGCGACGATGCTCGAAGAAATTGCAAAGGAACAGCTGAAGGCCAGGTTTCAAGGCCCGTTCGAACCTTGTCAGGTCGCAGACGACCAACAGTCACGCGCTGCACGCGCGTTCCCACTAGTGCAGCAAGACAAGGTTAGACGCGCCGATGATTGGCGCAGGTCCCACCATAACAGCACAGTTTGCGTGCAGGACTCCCCGCCATACGCGGGCACACAGTCGGTTCTCAACCTGGTTCAGTCGGCAGCCCAGTTTGGAGAGCCTACAGTCGCAGCCCTAGACCACGACGGAGCCTACCGAGCCTTGCCCGTTAGGGACCCCCAAGAGTGCTACGTGTTCGTCCCTAACCAAGCCGAACCCAGCGTGTTCCGACACCTGGTTCTCCCGTTCGGAGGCACAGGCAGCGTGTGGAGCTACCTGAGGATAGCAGACATCATCTGCTTCCTGACTATCACTATGCTGTTCATCCCGGCAGCACACTTTGTGGACGACTACTTCTACTCCGAGCCAACACACACGAGTGAGTCAGCTTTCACATCTTTCTGCCTCTTGCAAGCCCTGTTAGGCTTCCAAATGAAAGAGCCTAAAGCCCAGAAGCCAACAACCCACGCCACCTTGTTAGGTGTTGTGTGGGAGGATGGATTTCTAAGCTCAAAGGTTTGGTGGAGAAAGCCCTGTCAGACAACAAACTCACGTCAGACGAGGCCGCACACCTGGCAGGCAAACTCAACTTCGTGTGTTCCTGGGTCTTCGCAGGAGTGGGCAAGGCCCTGTTAAAGCCCCTTTACACAAGGCAGCACTGCCCTTTCCCCCAGACCTCCCTAAACGAGCCCCTGAAGGCCGCACTTAAGAGCCTGTTAGGCCTGCTCCCTCTGCTACAGCCAAGGACCTTCCCGTTACGCAAGTCCCTCACACCACGCAGGCCACATCTGCTGTACGCAGATGCATATACAACCCTTGCAGGCTCCCGCCAGTCAGCTAGCAAGTGGCTGAAGCAGTCGACAGCGCTGGCCGTCCTAAAAGGCTCCAGTAACGGAGTCGGAGCTGTTTTCTTCTCCCCGTCAGGAGAGAAACTAGCGTTCAGAACAGAAGTCCCAGTGAGACTTTTGAGCAAGGTAGCCACGTCTAAAGCATTCATCTTTGGCTTGAGGCTTTGGCTCAGATTATGAGCTTGGTAGCAGTCTCTCCTTTCTTGTCAGGAGATGTGGTTTGCTTTGTGGACAACAGTGCGAGTGAGCACGCACTGAAGAAGGGCTACTCAAAAGACGCAGCACTGACAAACCTGTTAGGCTGGTTCTGGAGCTGGGTTGCCTCTCGGGGTCTCAACCTTTTCTTTGTGAGGGTTTCCAGTAAGGCTAACCTGTCAGACGCAGCTTCGAGGGGAGACTGGGCACCGAGCGACTCGCTGGGGTGCCGACGCTGCAGCCCCGACTTCGGCAAGACGTGGGGTACCCTACAAAAGCTGACCGAGACCTCTGTGACACCCGACGCGGCCCTGTTCGAAGACCTGGTCGGCTTGTTAGCGCTGCCAACCGCCGCCCAGTGAGCCGCGCGTGAGAGTGGTCGTTCCGCGCGGAGTGGCAGACTGCGGACCCGACGCCACGACACTCCGCGGGTAGTGGAAAAGAAGAACGAACTCCTGTTCGCAGCCAGTTAGAAGCTGTAGGAGCGAGACTTGTCCGGAAGTGCACGTGTGCACCTTGTGACAAGTAGAGCGAAGCAGCTGAACTGTGACTTTCCAGTTAGAGCTGTGTCCTCTCGAGTTTTGCCTTTTAGAAACCCTCCACACCCGCCCGGAGGCAGACTGCGGACCGACCTGTTCGCCTTGAAAGGGCTTGAGCAGGGGTCTGAAACCCGACGCCACGACACTCCGCGGGTAGTGGAAAAGAAGAACGAACTCCTGTTCGTAGCCAGTTAGAAGCTGTAGGAGCGAGACTTGTCGCGTAAGTGCATCTATTTCTGTGTGCGCTAGTGGCTAGACTTTTTTATCCCTAAGTATACCCTGCCTGATCGCATGCCTGTGATTGCATATGTTGACAATATGTGTAATTATGTGTACATCTGTATATGTATGTGCATATATGTATATGGTTCTTTCCTACCAATGGACATTGGAATGAAGATGCAGCGATTGTAGTATGGACCAGTATGGATGTGCCGGCTGTGGTGAAATTTCGATGGAAATGGTTGGTTGAAAAACTGCTTAACAATGGCTTTGCGAATATTACAGTGTCGCTTCAAGCTTCAAGTGCACCAGGTAGCCGCAGCTGGCGAGAAAGGATGTGCTGCCAAAGATGTGCAGCAGGTCCTGGCAACCTGAGGGAACTTTTTTGTTGGAAGGCTTTCGCAGCTGAGGCTTGTGGCGTTGAAGGCCCAAGGCTGACCACGCTGCTGACTGCCCTGACTGCCGTGTTCCCTCCCAAGTTCTGGCGATCCAAGCCTGGCCTTGCTGACCTTGAACCAGCATCCTACGGTCCTACGTCCCAGGAAGTGCTTACGCCGCAGCGACGAGGGATTGTACACCTTGTCGCCAAACACCGCCCAGTACATGGCGGGGCCCTTACAACCCTGATCTCGCATCCAGTCCGTGACCAACTCCGTGCAGGTTTCGTCATCCAGGCACTACTACGGCGATTATTTGCAGTACCAGATTGGTCGTCAGGACAGCCAGCTGGGGAGTTGGTGGTGTTTCGAGAGCTGCTTGTGCTGCAAACCTGCCAGTTCTACCATCGGATGGGAGCCCTTCCAGAAGTGATGACCACAGGCAAAGCCCCGAGCTATGCGCACACCCGGCTTGTTCTTGTGGCTCGTGGTTGACGTGCCATGCTTGGAATCTGCCTCAGCGCGTACAGCCGAGTCAAACAGCCAAAGAAACCGAGACATTTACACGAAGCGAAATGCGGTGTGAAGCATCGCATGATTCTGCAGGAGTGCCATTCGAGGAGAACGAAAGTGTCTCGTTGATGTGAAGTGAAAGATACAGCTACTTATCAAGATCAAATACTGATCAGTGTATATCGTTCGGTGATTACGATGGGTCAAACCGTCATTCCTATTGGGTTCAACTACTGACATCTTCCAGCTCGCTCCTGCCTTCCGACTGCGACTGCAGTACACCTCATCCAGGTCCCAGCGCTTCCTCCCTGCCCGGTCCCGATCCGAGAAAGAGGGAGACAAATTGTGGACTCTGAATTTCGTGGTTTGATCGAATCGTAGTCCTGTGGTTCGTGGAAAGCTAACTGCACATCCCCCCAGACTGCGACCATCAATCGAGAATCCGTCTCCTACATGTTCGGGAACGACAGATTTGATGCTCCATGTCGGGTGGAGAGGAGCGCCGGGCGATGCGGCGTGGTGTGGAAAGCTGCTGACAACCGAGTGGCCAGCGCGTTAGCTAGCCGACGAATTTCCGAGGGCCGAGGGTATAAGAAGAAGTTGACAAGAACTGCCAGTTTGCCCCTCCCTGCTGTAGGGGCCTTCTAGCTCAAGGCCTCAACACGGTCGTGATGGAACGGCCGAGTGCACTCGTCCGGGCAAACAACCAGTTCCAGTAACAAGCACTGCGCTGTTGAAAGGAGATTTCTGAGCTCGGATGAGCTCGGTAGTCGTGGGCAAGTGGATCCGTTTAGTGGGAGAACTTTAGGCTTGTGTGAGAAATGCAATGTCCCTCAGTTTCCCGCACATGCCAGGTCTTGGTTTTCTGATCCAGAAGTTGCCAAGACCTACACGCAGGCCCCGACGGCTTTGTCTCAGCTGCCTTGTGGCGGCCAAGTTGCCAAGCCTCTACTTCGGACACGAAATAGAAGCACGAGAGTCAAAGCGATGTGAGAGGTGAGCACACAACCACAACGGCCAAGCAAAAACCATCAAAAAACGCACTGCGTCATCTCAAGTTCTTGTTGTATCCAGCACGAACCGGAAGAGTTTTCAGCAAAGAACACCTGAAACTGTAGCTGGCCAGATTGAGACGTGCATGTGCCCCTTGGAATTCGTGCGGAATGGCTTGGTTGCGTTGCTCAGCGATGGCACGGAGCTGCATCCTCGGCTGAAGGGCCAGTAGGCAGCAGCGCAAAAGGAGTTTGCAAGGAGGTGTACTTAATGCACAGAAATGCAAAAAGCGTTGAGGCCGGCTCGGGCGATGGAGTTGGAGCTGCCGAAATCGAGCCACCGCAGCTGTGGCTACGATCATGATGGCCGCCTGTGCCACGCGCTCCCACAGCGGACTGTCAGAGCCCTTGCCCTGGATCCACGAGGGAGGTATTTTTTCCAAGCCCCAGTGAAAGTCTGCGCAGAAAGGCAATCGTCGGCAGAGTTTGACTGCGACAGGAATGGCAGGGCGACTTGGATCCAGCGCAGAGCAATCTGTTGTTTTGTGATTTCAGTATAAGTCAGCGCAGGCTTTCTGTGGCTCTTCGCGGCAGTCTTGCAAGCTGCCACTTTCAAAGTTGAAGCTCGCAGTGGAAGATGGCTCGGGCCTTGGCAGTTCACCTGCAGCCTGAGTTGCGGCTACCGCACCGTCAAGTGTGAGGGCGGATTCCTGTCGCTATCGTCGCTCCGGGCTCTTTCTCGTGCAGATCTCAGAGCCGATCGCACGCTTCCGAAAGTCGCTCCAAGACCACTCAGGCCGCCAACCTTGCTTCACCTGCGCATGTTCGAAGAGGAGATCTCTGCCCAAAATTGGTTTCGGTTTGTCGGTTCGCAGACCGCGTGCATGCTAGGCACGCGATGCTCTCGAGCGTGCCGCTTCAGGCAAAGAAGTCTGCTAAAACAGCAGGTTCCCGGCATCGTAATGGCTGGCAGGCCAGTTCGCTGTGGTTGGAGGTTACTTGTCGCCGGTCCATGACTCCTATGGCAAAGCTGGGCCCCCAGGCGCCCTGCCCAGATCGCTTGAGTCCTCGCAAGATCCATTACGGCTTTGCGAGCCGGTCGAGGTAACGCTGGCGCCCTCACATCACCGCCTGAAGATGCATGGATCCAAGTTCTTCCTTGATCCAGCAGTTGGGCACGTTAAGATGTAGTGTGCAGTCGTGTTCACCACATGCCGCTTGTGCCGCAGGGTGGAAGCTGCAGTTTCAGATTCTGACTGGCTGATGGCAGATGGTACCTCTCTTGCAAGATTGCAGTGCATGGCAGGGCACCAGCTCTTCCTGCCTACCCTCGTCTGACAAAGGTTGGGAATGCACATGCCAAAGTACATGGACTCCAACTGTGGATGCCTTCGCCTCACCGTGCAGTAGCGCACGTGTTTGATCAGACACTTTCGAGAGGTCATATCCCATTTTGCCGCCGAGCTTGCAAAGGAGCGCTCAAGCCAGCTTTTTCCCCATGTTGATGGGTGCGCAGAGGATTCGAACCATTGCTGCTTCTTGACAGGTCAAGGTGTCTGTCGGCAATTCGCGGCCACTGGCTGGTAACATTCGGCTGGTCAGCTCGGCAGCAGCGTACCATGCATCCGGCTGTCTCTGCACGAGCTTTACTGCGCAGGTGATGCTGTGTGGTGGGGATGTGCTTGAGTCCTTCAATGCGACCAAAGAGAACGGCGACCGGGTCTGGCCAGATGAAGAGCTGGAGGTACCTGTCCAAGCCTGCATATCTGCATCTTGCAGCCTCTTGCTGCAGCATCCCTTCCTGTCCAGGTCATTCTTGGACAGCATGGCGTGGTGGTTGTTGGGCGGGATGATCAAGATCTAGATGCCTTTGCCACAGCCTCACCTGACTTCAACCGAATGCTTTCCGCGCTCCGCCCCATTTCTCACCTTGAGCACGTCGAATGCAAGGTACAGCAGTGTCCACTGCTAGCTCGATATGCAGACAACATCACCATAGCGCAACCCCGGATTCGCACAGGCACGATTGGAGTGGGTCTCTTCTCCGACAGCGGCTGTTATCAACTCTATGACCCTATGACTGATGTGCGCCTGTACATCGTAAGAGAAACCGGTAAACGCGGTCCTGCGAGCAAATGCGCTTTGCACTATACAGAGAGAGCTTGCGATGAAGCACAGCTTTGCGATTCGTTGCCTTGCAACCCCCTCGAGGCCTGTCGGCCTACAGGCTCCAATTCTCTACTCTCTCAAAGCGTCACAGCCGCAACATCTCAAGCTAGGTAGGTCACTTACCGCAGGTGTTTGTACGGATCGCTTCAGGGTGCGTTTCGAAGCGGCTTTCGTCTATTCGAGTCTCTTAAGGCGGACTGAGGTAGGTGTGCTGCAATTTGGCATCGTCTCAAGTAGCCCCATTCAGATGGCGCAGGCATCAGCTCCTCAGCGGTGCGGGCGCACTTAGCTGCTGGGGAAAGCATCCGCTACCTCGTGCACGACAAGGCCCGAAGGAGCCGGTGGATAGCACAGTAGCACGTAGCAGTGCAATGCCCTGCAAAACCAGCAGCTGCCGCTGCAGCCCAGGTCTGGAGGTACATCTTTCGGCACAGACTCAACGAGCTGCCTAACTGGCAGTGATTGATTTCGAAAAAGCACTGCGCTCCTTCTTGTTCCTGACAGTACAGTGAAAGATCCTGCTGTGATCTGGTGCGCCGTCTCTGTGACGCTGACACTGAAGCGAATCTGTTTGGGGCACCATCTATCCCATGCGGCAGCAGGCGCAACACAACGGCTCCGTGGCGACTGCCAAGTGCCCGCGGTTGCATGTGTATATTGGATCATTGGATATGTATGTCTGCCTGTGAGCCCATCTGATCTGATGAAAGGCTTTTTGTGCTTACATATCTTTGCATGATGCAGCAGCGGTTCCAGAAGCAGAGGTGAGAAGTGCAGAATGGACCCTTGTCTGTTCAGGTACCTCGTGCGCAAGAAGCTGGATTTGGGCGGGATTAGCTCCATGCTTGATGTCGGAGGCACGGTAGATGCAAAGGGTGGGGTCACTGCCAGAGAGGCAGCCTCAAAGAGTCAACAAGATATCGTGAAATGCAGGTGGCTCCGGAGCATTTTCCTACGTCTTCACAGAGGCACGGCATGCATGGAAGTTCAGGCGAAGCCCAGAACATCTTCAATGTTTTTGAGGCCACCCCGGGCCTCAAGTCCACAGTGCTGGAGTTGCCAGAGGCACCGGATTGGCTCAGGCTGCGAATTCGGGTTCTGAGTGCTCGGACGGACCGCCGTTGCCAGGTCTGTCGCACAGGCGAGGGCATCAAGGCTCAGCAGCCTCAGGAACGCGACCGTCGCGCTGCACCCGGAGAGATACATTTGCGTGCTTTCGATGTGCAGGACATCCAGGACCGTGTTTCTTTTGTGGAGCTTGATGCGACAAGCCCAGACTGGCCAGTGGCTGACCCAGCACTGCTGTGATCGTGTTGAGGAAGCTGAGGATTTGAAGGTCAGATCGCATCAGACGTGATTGAGGTTAGTGACAGTAACTACGACATCGTGCTGATGGCTGCGCGCTTAAAAACATCTAGCTTTGGAGCCAATTGTATTTTGCCTGCCCGAGTCCTACATCAGTGGCTCCGTCCCCGAGAGTGTTATTCTTCCGCTCTACAAGAATGCCTTCAAGGCCAAGTGGTTCTCTCTACTGGCACATCCTGTCTCGATGAGAAGTGCCCTGTCACTGTCTTGCACGCTCAGATTTGCATGGCAGGGTCGTATGCAGGCTTTTGCCCTCAGCCGATGGCACGTGCAAGCTTTTGCTTTCAGCCGACGCATGTAGAGACCAGAGACAGCCGGTCCATTTCTGACCAACGCCAACCACACCAGGTGCGGTAGATTAATTGGACCGCCAGTGATGTACGGTACACTCCTAAGGATAGCCTTGTCGGCAGTCTAACGAGGTGACGAAGCCTAAACCGCGAAGACAAGACTGGTGTTCAGCATGCCACCCATGGCTGCCATGGCCATGCCAATCCCGGCTGCCTCTTTGTGTGGATCTCAGTGCCCAAGTTGCATTCACGAAACTTGCTGCCGTGCATCGTCAGACAATGCAGAGGCCTCCCGTCCTGGCATCACCTGCAGAGGTGAGAGCCAGCCAAGCTTCAAAGGCGGTTTCCCTTGCTCAGAGTCTGGGCTCTTGGAGGTGAAGGCGGCGAGTTCCGCTTGGACCCCACAGCTGGAACGGGGACACAGGCGAGCCACCGATGCCCTCTGACCGCCCACCATCTAGGGCCTGCCATCGCCTTCGCAGGAGCCGTCATGGCGGCGCGAAGGCAGTGCGGGGATTTGGGTTTTCGGTCACAGCAACTCTACGTGTAGAGTGATGGCTGTGTGCATGGTGCAGAGCACCCCGAATGACAGATGGCTGGAGCGGCAACGTTTCTGATTGGTGGGGTCGCAGCATCTGCGAGCCGAAGGAGGCACGAGCGCAGAGCATCCCAGAGGTCTCTTCTTCTGAGATGCTCCCCAAGCCTTCTTGCAATGGCAGGCTTCGGCAAAGTGCGAAGAGCAAGCACTGCAAGGCATTCACCTGTGTCATGCGCTTTTCCACATGCTGCCGGCTTCGGTCTTGAGCAGGTGGTCGTGGCTGTTGGCAGCACAATAGAAACACTGCCGGGAGCTTTGTCACAGCAGCAGTAGTTGTGCAGTCTTGTCCCCATATGTGCTGCGTCCTGTGGCCTGTCCAGGCCAAAGCACTTGCTGCTCCTAAAACCAAAATTCAGGGATACTCAAACCAATCCAGGAATGAGTGACATCGGCCATCCGGGAACTACATGTCCTCTTGTTTTTGAGCTGCATACCTAGTTCCGCAGAATCGTGTGTTTTCCAACAGTCTGTTGGCCTGAGGGAGAAAGACGAGCTCACCGATGAAGAATTGTCGGCTGCTCAGATTTCGCTTGAGTCCTGCAAACTCTGTACAGCTCCGCATCATGCTGGTTACACAAACCGCACACCATCAGGCAGTCGCTTTTTGACGCTGCTTCGGAGGGGAAGGACGTCGTCACTTTCGACCAAGCTGCAAGCACCCAGCTCAGGTTGCTGCAAGCTTGACTGTTGCGCTCTTGTAACTATATGTATGCTCTAGACTCTAGACGGTGGCCGGTTACAGACTGTGGTCAACAAGCATAGCAGGCCTGGCTGCGTGCAGTGTGCAGAGGACATGAAGAACACTTCTGAGGCCTGGAGGGCGTGGACGCGGTCCTGGAGGAGGGAGCTGCGAATGTCGAGGAGCTAAAGGTGATTTGGGGGGACCCCGACGAGCCACTGGATTTCGAGGGCTTCAGTGCGGGGCCCGGCCCAAAACGTTGCAAGTTCTGCTGCAGATGCTTCCATGAATTCCTGAGGTCGCTGGTACAATGACGTGCTCAAGCTGTATGACGGCCTTTGCCTGTTTGCCGTCTGCGCGGTGATCTTGCGGTGCTCTTGTAGATTGTAGATGTACATGTATTGCAAGATATGTTTCAGGTAGTGATCATGGCAGGATTCCTTCCTCTGGCAAGATGCGGTAGCACCTCCATCAGATGTGTTCGATGATGAAGAGCAGGGTCTGGAGGACAGCGGTCCTGCTTCCGGGGTAGCTGAATGAACGGAAGACTTGGCAAAGGACATGAATAATTTGGACGACGAGTGGCCTGGATCATCCTAGCGGCGTCTTGTGGGTTTGGTCTTTCCCGCTGCAGTCGCTGCAGACTGCAAATCCTTGCAGCATGCAGGCAGCTTTTAGAGGATGCTCCAGCTGTCGGAGTGCAAGTGGAGCAGTTGAGCACCAGCGCTCTCAAGCCAAAGCAGAAGATGATGTACGGAACTCTGGCCCTACCGGCTCGTGAGCGTCCTTGCTGCAGGGTGTGCGTTCAGAGTTCTGTGGCCAGACCGACAAAGTTCCCGAGTACCAGAAGCCTCCATGGAAACTTGCCGAAGAGATCATCACCGGAAAGACCGATGATTACTTGGAAGACTACAGAATCTTGGTAGCAGGTTGTGCAGGCCGCAGCCGCAGCCGGAAGAATTTAGCAGACTCAGACACTGCAGGCGTCGAAGATGAAGGGGCCGGCCGGAGCACAGAGGGCATGGCAACCCCGTCGCGCCCTGAGTATCCCTCATTTCTGTCTGGTGCTTGCGGCAGAAACGGGCACGGGATGGCACGGGCAGGTCTGCCGGTGGCGGAAGGCAGAATGTGGAAATCACACAGCTTTTTCGACAGGCGCGGCAACGGCCGCCGGGCTGTTGCTCTGCTCAAGAGGCATTGCACATCGCATTGCACTGTTAAACGCAGGCCTGCGACGAGAAGAACCTCCTGTCCTTCGATGCGCTGAAAGAGATTTCTGAGTTTGAGGACATGCTCGAGCAGGAGGAGCCTTGTCAACCGCTTAAGGTGCTCAGAGATGGGACACGATCTGGGTGTAGAATTCTCATCGTAGTTCAGCAGATGCCAGCTCCTCTGTGGCGCGGGTGACTGCAAGCGCTTCTGGGCCACGCAAGCGGCGTTTCGGAAAGAGCCGAGCGTGGGTTGTGAACCGCGAACTAAGCACGCGGATCGCATGGTGTTGTCATGAATGATGGTTAGTCAACTCAAGTCTCGTTTCTCGATGGAGCTAGTTTCTGAATTTCCGCGGGCCCTTAAATTTTGTTGCTTTACTCTCATGGCCCCTTGAATAGATGCGTGTCAAGGTCGACGAGCGCGGGCTTTTGCCGGCCAGCAGAATCTCATGATTCGTCGCAGGACATCTCGGAGGAGGAGCTTGAGGAGATATGGGACGAGCTGCCGAAGAAGAATGCCGCTCACCTAGTTGGTAGATCTGTTTTTGTAGCGTGTCACAGTCACCGACAGTGAGCCGGTGCATGACGGCTTGTAGGGTGACTTCATCGATGTGCTGGCCTTCAGGGACTTGCTGGCCAAGGACCACGCCCGCCTCTGTTCTTCGCAGATGTGTTCACGGAGTGCTGTTTCGAAGGTTGACGAGCTCTTCGAGTACGTCGAAGAGGACGAGGAGGAAGATCCCGAAGAGCAGGCTTGTCAAACCAAAGCACCTGTTCATAAGAGGTTGTGTGTGGAGACGCAGATCGATGAAAGCATCATGTCCGACCCAGGCTCTCATGCAGGTTGAGGGCAAAGGCGGCATTTCCAAAGCAAAGAAGCGCGGTTTGCAAACCGCCACGCATCCAGTATATCCTGGTTTTACTGGGTTTGTCTCCCCCGTAACACAAGTCTGCCTGAGGTCAAGCAGGATTTGCTGGATGCCATCGCCAGGCTGGAGGCGGAAGTCCGCGTACGCTGAGAGGGAAGCAGGAGCCCAGCCCTCGCAGAGGCTCAAACGGACAAGCCTGCCGGCTTGGGCTCCACGGAAGAAAAAGACGGCGCCTGCCGCTCAGAACCTGTGGCTGTGCTGGAGTTGCAATCGTTATCGAGCAAGTCGAGCAAGCGCAAGCCATCGCAAGCCCATGCATACCTCTGCACAAGCAGGAAGTCGTGAAGCTCGCTGGTGAGTTGGAAGACGTCTGGCGTGATCAGGCTGCCGGCTAAGACACTTGCAATCCGCAAGCGTGTAAGCGCGGTTCAAGCACTGGAACGACTCGATCCATGCGATTCAAGCCCTCCCGATTCAAACACCGACACTGTGACTCCAAGCACGCCGCCGATTCGAGCACCACACCAGAATCAAGCACGCACGATTCGAGAGCGCGCGTGCGCACGCGCGGCGACGCAGGCAGTCACTCATTTGAAGGTTCCAGGTTTCGGGGTTTACGGCGTAGAATTGCAGATGCTGGATTTGCAGGGGTTCACTGAGACCGGGCAAGGAGAGCCAAAAGGCTTATAGGGTCTTGGGGTGCTGGTTGGGTTTAAGGTTTAAAGCTTTAGGATTTGGGGTTTCGAATTTAGCGTCGCTTGGATGCTTGGCATTCCAACAGTAGGGTGGCTCCAAACAGCAATCCCCAAAGACTTACACGAAACACGAGAAGGGAGCCGAGTCAGGAAACAGGAGAGGTTTCCCGGAGTTTAGGGCTTAGGTTTGGGTTGTTGACAACCGCGCAGGATTTTGAGATTCTGAAGCTCCCGCTCTTTTTGGGTGTTGTGCCTGCCACCATTACTCTCTTAGGGTTTATGGAGTTTCTGTGAACCAGTCACTCCTTCCACATTCACCCCCCAGGCTAACAATCCCTGGTCCCTTGTTTGCTCAAACTTCGGTTGCAGGTCGGGCCTGAGATTTTAATGTTAGGAAGCAGGACAGCAGCCCTGCCTGCTGCGCCCTTGGGGTGGAGGGCTTGAGTTTGGCGCTGTAGGGAGGGTACTGCACGGAAGGCTAGATCCCTTGGCCAATGCGGTGAATTTGTGTGAATTGCATTCGGTGCCTTGTGCACGCGAATCTGCCAGTGCAGTGCGCGAATCCAGGGCCTGCAGTGAGCCGATCCGCGTTGCCCGAATCCGTTCTCCAGTGGGGAAATCCGGTCTCGTTCTTGTGCCCGAACCGCTTCTTCTTTTACCGGTTCGCAATGAAAGTGTTCGTCGGGCAAACATTAACATGTCACTTGCGTTTGCCCGTCAGGTTGGCGATCTGAACAAATTCGACGGCGCTAAGTTTGAAGGCACATGGGAACTCATCTATTCCACGTCTGTGAAGTGGCTCTGCAAGCATTTGCCCTCCCTGCTGGCACAGATGAAGTCATACACCGTGAATGTTCGATCCATCTGAAGCACCATGCAGCCCAACAAAGGTTCCGAAGATGGGGATCCGTCCTCAACGGCGTTCGGGAGATCAAAAACGGCGAGTTTGAAGCGACTGGCTAAGCAGTTCGCTCAAATGCAGACACTTCCTGGTCAAAAGTCTCCGCAGGCCCTTGTGCAGAAATTCAGCCCCGGCGCCTTGCCGGCACATGTCGTGGTTTGCTAGCTTCGGAGCACTTAGGAGATCTGAGAGAGGAATTGCCGGAACGAGATTGGAGCCTTTCCTCCCGAGGGGGGGGATCTAGATTCTTTATATTGGTTTTCGGCATCACCTCGTGTTGAATTTACAAGGGCCGCGAGAAGGTCCTTCTAGCAGGCCCAGCAAGGCTGGGGCAGCACCTTCCAGATAACTACAGAGTTGCGATTAATCAGTCATGCTGCGGCTTCAATCTCGACAATCGTTTCTGCCGTGCCGAAATGCCTTCCGGTTTGTTCTCACGCGCAACACCACCACATGCTCAACAGACAACAAAGTACGATTCAGAAGTACTTCGGCTAACCGCTTTTCGGAGTAGTTATCCAATGTTAGGATGAGCCGTGATCGAGTAGTCTGCCGCACATCAATTGGGGCCCCACAACAGCCTGGTTGCAATTAGGTGCATCACTGTTGAGGTGACGATTCAAAATATGAGAGTTTCAATGAGTACGATATGGAGGAAGTGTTCAAGGCTGGCCAATGTGGGAAACGGGGTCTTGGCTTGAGTCTGATCTCGCCATACAATATCATACAGTGCAGACGGAGCCTTTCACCGCCAGAGGGCATTGTTTGGATAACGGCGCCCGTAGGCTCCCAACGAGGACGGCGAGGAGGTTGAACTGTGCATGCGTGGACAGGCGGGTGAAGAACCTACTATTAAGATACCTCGGCCTCAAAGCCAGCAGAGACAAATCTCACGGAGAAACCAGGGCTCCTGGCGATTGGGCATTCAGCAAAATGTTGTCACCGGTGAAGAGGCAGGAAGTCTGCGTCAAATGCAGCCCGTGTTTGCAGTTTTCAAAGACCGTGGTTTTGACGAGCCTTCAAGGACGTTGTTATGAAGCTCGAAATTACAAATGTCGAGTACGAACAGCCGGCATGTTTGCTACTAGTCAGAGGCCTTGAGGTTTAGCAGGTGGACTGGCCTGTGACAAGGACACGCTCGAGGACACCGTTGAGTACTGTGGAGACAAGACGCTGATGAGTCCGATGTGCAGGCGTTTTGTGCTGGGCTCTGAGAGCTCAGGATGGCAGACTGCTTGCTAGCAGGACTTTCAGCTACGGCTTCCTCAGCTACATGGACGATGAGTACAGAGCAACTTCCCGCACGATTGGAGATCTTCCTACCTGCAACAAACATCCGTGCTGATTTCCAGCGCATGACACGGAATGTGCTTACGAAGGTAATGAGGACGAGTCTGACGGGGAAGTCTCTCTACATATTCCAGAGAATCAAAGATGAGGACCCCTATCAGCATGCTGAGGTCATGTGGTAGGCCATGCAGCCGTTCTCATTGAAACGCTACACTCGTGGTCAGGACGAATGATGTGGTATGAATGAATGAAGGAATGCAGGTGCAAACTAGGTATGCTGCCAAGTTCCTCCCGAAATACAGTAAACTGCAACAACGGTCATGATTCTGCAGTCGAGAGGCCCGCCGCTTGAGCGTGGCAAACTGTTTAACGGTTTGGCAAGTGTCGGGTCGAACGAAATCGCCATGGCTCCCTTCAAGATGATGCCAAAGCATTCGATTGTGAACTGTCCCAAGTCCTTCATGGGATTTCACGCGGGAGATGGGATGCAAACTCGTTATGCCTGGCTCCATCAATTGTTTCAGCTCTTGTGCCGCGAAGGCCAGTGCAGACCAAATGTGCTTCTGCAAGCAAGTTTTCCGCCTGCAAAGGTGATCAAAAAAGTGCCCCGCGGTTGGTGCAAACTGCAGTGCGATCAACTTACGCCCGGCATCGTAGTTTGCTAGGCCTTGCGACCTGGAGGGCGTCTTTTGGTCCACGACTTCATGGCCTCTCGGCTTGCGGAGTCTCTTGATTTACGTGCACGGGGCCTCTTGTACAAAAGGTCAACGACAGCCTCGATGGTCCCGCACTGGGAGCACTTTGGGGTCTGAGCCTGACTCTCTTTGAGGTCAAACGGTTCTTGCCACTCCTGACCAATTGACAGAACAGGACTCCAGCATGTGACCGTCAACGCGCAGGGGCTTGGGCTCTGCCCGGCAGAGGCCCACTCGGATTCCCTTGCAGCGGGCGACTTTATATTGTCCGCCGACAAGGTCATCCGGCGCATGGCTCAAGCAGGCTTCGAGGAGAACAAGTGCCAAACCCACGAGATGATCCACGGCGCCTCCCCGAATTTGTGGAATGTCCTGACTCCTCCCGGTTGTCGTCTCGTCTTCAAATGTTGTTTTGGACTGCCCGAGGCATGACCAAGCTCATTGTCGCGCATAAGGCCTAGGTCTTAGGTGCTGGAACATTTTTGCCAGAAAGAGGCAGATCTGTGAAACAGTCCTTATTTCTTCAGCCTTGCCACAGCGCATGTGCACAGCACATAGGTTTCGCAGGTGGCAGGGTACGCCTGAAATATTCGGGCGCTAATCCGCTCATCCAGTTGCGAAATTCTGCCAGAGAAGCTTCACAGAGGTGAGGGCAGAAACAGGAAACGGCATGGGCCTGGGAGTCTCACATCACCTCCAGATTACCCAAACTTGCTGCGAGATTGAACTTTGAACAGGCGCATTATTCAAGCTTCACCGAGTTATATGGCCCGAACAGATTTGCCACACCGTGTTGCGCGGTCTTTTGGCCATTGCAATGTGTTGGCACTGCGAAGTGATAGCCTCTTTTGCACTCCCCAAACGATCCTACATCTTTAGAAAGTTTCGAGTTTGTCTCCGGCAGCGTGAGTACTTTCAGAAGTCAGCACATCGGACTCCACTAGGGCCGGCAGGGACCAAAAAGTCACGGCCACAAACAGGCATCCCACGTTTATTCTAGCATTGTCTTCGCTCTAGACGCTTTGGTCTTGAAGTCGATGGACGAGGCAGGTGTGCTCATTTTGCACTCGCCTTTCGAGTCTTTAGAACTGTGTCGAAGGACGATGGTGGCTACGGCCAGTTCTCGGGAGATGGACTGGGAGAGGCTGGACTGCTGAGACACGAAGTAGATGCAGTTGTGTCCGTTGCCTCGCGGAGTGGACTTCGGAAGACAGAGGCAGCGGTGGATTTAACTGGAACATGTTGTATTCTGGCTGAGGTAGAGGGCGGTTCTTCTGGCATTCCGTGTTCATCTTCGTGCGGAGTTTAATCAGGCAGTACAAGTACAGTACGAACAGCAAGCAGACGAACCGTGCAAAGCTTCAAGCTCCTGAACCCGGCAAACCCAAAAGCCGTAAAAACTCCAAGCCCCGCGAATACTTCGTGCACGACGACTACGATTGCTACTACCTCCCGCCCCCCCTTCGCTGAAGGCAAGGGAAAGCGGGAAGAGTAACTCCGAAACAAGCCTCAACCTCTCGCCGCATTTGCTTGCGTCGCAACGAAGCACTCGGTTCATGAGCCCATGATTTTCTCGGATCTTTACCCCGAGAATCACTTTCGAACGTTGGGACCGTCAATCGCACCTGCGGCGAATAAACTGCATCTGCGGCTCTTCAAAACAAAATACGTTTCGAGCAGTCGTCGGTCATCGCGAGTTATGGGTCCGTCAGTCGTCGAAGTGTGGCTCAACCTGGCACCGACTTCGCCAGTTCACCAAGCTGTGCAAGCCCGTAATTGTGACATTCAGCAGCTTGGAGCTTCGCCGCATCGACAGAAGCGGTCGTTGCTCATCGCTTTCACTTCGCCAGGCAAGCGTTGCCGAGCTGCAGGCAGAGATCAAACGTCTGCGGAAGGCCTTTGCAGGGCCAGCGCAGGCAAAAGAAGTTTGGAAAGAGCTGTGGCGCAGCCAAGATGCTCCGACCGGAACTCCGACACACCACCACTGTGGCGCCCCCTGTGGCGCTGGCCGGCGCAACAGTGCAAGGATCCATTGCCGAGGCAGGCTACTGGAAACACGGGGATCGAAAGAGCGCAGAGCTCACGCGGAAGTCTCCTGCCGATCGCTGCAATGCCCCTGTGTGCAGGAGATGGTGCTTGTGTTGGTGATCAGCCTCATGGTGATGCTGTGGACGGTGCCTCTCTTGAGGTGTCGCGTCAGTTGCGTTGTGCTAGTTCGTTTCGTCACAAGCATGGATCTGTCAGGCCCTTCCGATATTGCTGTGAGACCAGGCTTCACAAGGCCAGGTGCTCTGGACTCCACCCGCTGGGCAGCAGTAGCCGGCTGAAAACCGCTTGACAGACTCGCCGTGCAGGTCTACCCCATCATCACAGTGGTCAACCTGCTTCTCCTAGCGGTCACGTTGCATGCGTTGGCTTGGCCTGATTGTGCTCCTGGGGTGCAAGCCTTCTTCATCAACTTCGCGCGGTTCCGTCAACCAAGATTCTCTCAACCGCGCTTCCTTCAACCATGTTCCCCACTTCCCTCAACTCAGATTGTGCGATTCTTTCAACCCCCATCGCCCGCTTCCCTCAACCCGGATATTGCCGATTCTGTCCACCCCCATCGCCCGATTCCATCAACGCATACTGTGCTGATTCCGTCAACTCCGCCCCCCCGTTTCCGTCAACCCTACAGTGTTGTCAACGCATCTCGCCCGCTCTGTTGCCAGTCTCACATTCAATAATGCAGCCCTTACCCTCAAACAATGACCGGCGCGTGCTGGGGGTTGAGTGAATCTGCGTGCTGGGGTTGAAAGAATCAGGTTGTGTATGGGTTGAACGAAGCAGTTGTTTGGGTTGAAGGAATCATTTCCTTGGACATGGTTGAATGAATCTGCGTTCTGAGGTTGAAGGAAGCAGGTTTTGAGGTTGAAGGCATCCGCGTTTCCGGGTTGACAGAATCCGCGGGCAGGACGGAATAATCGGCGAAAAGTTGAAGGAATCCGCGCGCGACCGTGCTCCTGGGAAGCTACGGCTTTACATGGAGATGAGAAGACTCGTTGCCATTTATTGCATGTTGCACGCCAGGCTAAAGTCCATCACCTTCAACGACGTCTTCTTTGCCCTGGTCAACGGATTCGAGGATGCAGTCGAGAAGACCGAGCAGGTGAAGAGCACTCCTTCCTGCCTTCCCTAAGCCTGCCAGACTCTTTCGAGCACATTGGCAGATCCTTGTGGGCGTCGCCGCGCTCGTTGCGATTGCGGTGGTGTGGAAGCCGGCTTCCCGAAAGTGCAGGAGGACGCGGAGCCTGCATCCGGTGAAGCTGAGGTTCAAAGATCGCGTTTTCGAGGTTCAACGAGTTCTGGCATGCCTTCGATCAATTCGGTGTGCATGTTACTGCATGTCTGCTGCGATGCGAAGATAAAACAGTTTAAAACAGCATTTTCTGTTTACGCCAATGCCTCCAGCCAGAGTGCGAAGTTGGAGAGGTCCTGGGTGTGGAAAATGCAGCCTCAGTCTTCGGCGATTTCCGTGACTGGGCCACGTGCTGGCCTGGTGCTGAGGACAGCATTCTACCCTTGATTCGCGTCGCTTCACGACGTTTCCTGCGCACGTTTGGGTCGTGTATCTCAGGTCTATGAAGCGCTTTCACCCGGTAGAACTGTTCATTTGGAAGGTGCTGGGACCTGCAACAAACAAAGAAGCATTTCATCCCTTTGCTACTGTCTTGAGGTCGAAGGGCTTCCCTCTGCTCGTCTACACTCGCTCAACGATGTCTTTTGCGAAGTTGGAACCTGAACATGAAAGCACGTTCAGAGCATCGAACCTCCTTCCTGTTGTTCCGGTTACCTCGCCGAAGGTCTCGCTGGGCTACAACATGACCATGAAAACACGGGCCGGACTTTCCAGCTTTGACGGGACTGATTGCGGAACGGGTTTTCCTTGATTCTCCAGGTGCATCACCGAGCTGGGCACTCCTGCGTTTTCAAGGATCGTGCTGAGCGGCTCATCAGCAGGGCTTGAGCTCGTTGACAGCAGAATCACGGGGTGCACAGCGGCAGGAAACCCTCCAGCTCAATTTCGACCCGTACGATTCTGAACACAGGTTGACGCTGAGCATCAAAAGCCAGGCCTGGTGGGACTGGTGGGACTGCGTGATGGAGTCTATCTGTCTATCCGATTCTCATATTCACGTTGTCTCGCAGTCTCACATTCGTGTCATGTGCAGCTGCCGCCGCATCTTGCAGTGAAGGCAATTCCATATATGCATATTAGCGGCTAGCGCTTGTACATGATAATCACGGCGGAGTAGCTCAGTGCCCACTTGCCGGATACCCGTACTTGCATCATTCCGCAGACTTGGACTCAACGAAGTCTTTTCGTTTTCTATGCGAACGTTGCCATGCTCCATTCATAGAGGAAGTTGTCGGGGCGGCCGAGATCGTGCAGTTGCAGTTGGGTGCGGATAAGGCCAGGGAGAGACGCCTCGCCACCTGGCTTCTTGAGACATCTTTGAACTCCGTCGCCAGGTGAGGCAGCTGGAGGAGCCCGCGTCGAAAGATCTTGGCTCGGGCAGGCAATGAAGCGAATGAGCATCACCCGTAGACCCTGTAGGCCCTGCTGTTAGGCGCCATTTGGGGCTGCAGGGATAGTCGGGCCGAGTCGAGCTTGGGCAGCTCTCAGGCCCATTGGCTGGGGCAGCAAAGCTGATACAGCAGCCGGATGCTCATGTGCGGAATTTGACATGCAGCGTCTCGTGAAAAGCTGAAAAGGTTTGGGCACAAGAGAACTTCAAGTGCATGGACTTGGTCAGAAGCTTAAGTTGCCGATAGTTGCCGGTTCACACGGGCAAAAGCGTCGACATCAGTTTGAAGTGTACGTGGCAGTGGCTTTGCTGCGGCTTCTCGCCTTCAGCAAGCCGCAGCAGATTGTACCAGTGTGGCTTAGGACAAGCTGCCGTCGTCTGTTGCAGGTCATCATGAATTGTGCGGTAGACGAGTGACATCAATTGACTTGCAAAGCCGGCCGAAGAGATCCGGTTGAGTTGTATGCTGGTACACGTAGGGGAAAACACTCAGCGAGACAAGAGCAGAACGCTGGCAGCAGGGGGGCAAATTATTAAGGCATTGAAAACCCCGGAGCTGCATCCGCGTCAGATATGCCAGGACAACATGAGGAAGGGGCTCGCCTCCCAGCAAATCATGCAACTCCTCCAGCTTCGCCATCTTTGCAGCAGCTGCAAGCAACGTTTCCTAAAACCAAGCTGGTAAATTTAACCAGCCGAGCCTCAAGGCTACCCCGCATTCCTGGAGAAGCACACCGGTGCTTTGCTTTGCTGGCTCCGTTCAGGTACATAAGATGTGCATCTTCGAGCAGTCTCCCCACGGTGGTTACTGTATCTCATGTTCCACACATACCCAAAGCTTTCACCTCACCGGAGGGATCACCAGCTGGAGTGGATTGCGGCTTGCGTTCACAGAAGAACAAGATACACAGCTCTAGTCAGTAACTTAGTAGGCTGGCAAGACCCTGTCTGCTTAACATCTTGTTGCTGCCTGCTTGTTTCGCTAGTCAAAGCAGGAAGCTGTAAAGCATCGGCTTCTCCTTGGTAATCAGCGGCCTCCAGAGGAGGTCACGGTGAAAACCCATCACCTTGCCACTGTAGAAAGAGCGTGGGGCCTGCGGTAGGGTAGCTGTCGAAAGCCGCATGCCGGTGCCAGCCTGCAGTGCGCTGCTGCGCATTCCGCAAGAAACAACGATCTGGTGCCACACGTAAAAAACGGAACACAATGGAACACATACTTAAGATCAGCAGCATCGTTCCTAGTGGGGGAAACACTCCTAATTACTCGACCGGGACAGAGGAGGATTACGAGCAGGCTGTACAGCAACTCAGGCAGCTCTTTCCGTCCACACGAGCTGGAAACGCGTCCGTGCCGTCGCCAATCGGGCAGGGGACTTTCGGAAATTGCGGGGGCAAACTGGCTCGCACAAATCGGCGAGCTCCTGAGACCGAAACTTCGGAAACAAACGTTTGCTCACCCAGATGAGCACCAAACAGCAGATGAGTTGCACCGTGTTCTCATGCCGGGCTGAATGCTATGCATATTCATGGATGAGTTGTACTGTGTTCTCATGCCGGGCTGAATGCTATGCATAATCATGGTATTTTGCATCTTGCATGGATAAGGTTCCGGCCGGCAAGATTTACGTTCGATTCGTCAAGGCAAGGCCATCCAAAAACGTTGGAATTCCGCAGACAGAGAGACTTGTTTGTCGATCTCGACCAGGCAGAGTAGCCCGAGACTCTCACGGTCCGGGGCCCAGAACGCAGGTACTCGCAGCATGCACAGCTTTCTTCTGCCAGGCGCAGTGACACGAGGAAGCAAAGCTTGTACATAGTGGGCGAAATGCCAAACCGCGCATCAATGCAACCCATGACAATGCTTCAATTCACCAGGCAATGTCCTGCTGAGCTGCAAGGCTTAGAAAGCTTCTTTACGACAAGGTAGCGGCACATTCGTGTGTCTGTTCCAGACTGATGGAGCTGAACTTTGAGCTTCTGCAGAGGACTTTATCGAACTCTGCTGCCTTCTGGCCGGTCAGGAGACAGCACAGACACGAAACAGTCAGCAAGATCCTCCCTAATACCTTCAGCCCAGCGGAAGATCCTTGCGTGCACACTACTCGTGCTACTTACAACTATAAGTCATCTGGTAGCCACAGAATAAGCTGAGCACAAGATCTGTAAGGTGCTGCAAATCCTGACTTGAAGCATTCGCCCTGGGCGCCTCGCCCTATCGGACTATCCATGAGCTCCTGCTAGCGATGCACCAACCTCGACGCGTGCAAAGCCCATGGGTATTGCCGGCATCGTGCAAGCAAGTAGGGAGTTCCTGCCTGCGGAAGATGGCATCTGATTTGATACATGCCGCGTTTGGAAAGGACGGCTGCTCACACAAAGCCAGCCACCAAAGCAGAACGGCTCGTTGCTTGAACCAGGAGTCGGCAAACCTGTACGAGTTGTACCATCCTCAGATATCCTCAAACTTAACATCTTGGAAGCCGGCAACGCGGCTGCAAGGGGGCAAAGACTCACAGCTCAGGCTCGGCGTTTCGAAGGATGCGAGTCCTGCTCAGATCCGAAAGGGGCCAGCACAGCTCGCTCTTGACATTTGGTTATAAAGACAGGCCTTTATTTGTACTGACAGCCGCAGGTACTACAAGGCTGCACTGAGATGGCATCCAGATAAAAATCACGGCCGGGCCCTTTGTTTTCTGATTTGTGAGGGAAGTCTTCAAAGAGACCCAGCTGAGGTTGCAAAGAAGCTACGCAGAGGTTTCAAGCCCTAGGTGAGGTGTCGGAATCCTACGACGGTTTGTTGTATTCATGACCAACTGATGCAAGCATCAACTCAAGGCATCGCATTTTAAGCGACCATGGCCTGCGAGCCGAATACGACGCGTGGCAAGCGATTCTGCGAGGGTTGGATGCAGTTGCACGGTTTTTGTCTGACGCAGAAGCTTCTGAGAGGAACTTTTTACTGATCGGAGTTGCAGTGAAGCTCTGCATTATCATGTCGTCTCATCTATGTAATTCTGCAAGGATGCGACTGGTTGCTACCCAAGCCAAGAGGGGTTCGAGACCAAGTTGTCGGGACGGAGGTAAACTCGTCTTGCATCCGCAGCACGAGCCAGCCGAATGCAGATAATGTCACATTTCATGGACAGATGCCAGACTGCAAGGATTGAGACCGATTGGCCTTCGACTCATTTGTTTTGTTTGGTCCCGATGGTGTACTGTAGATGTGCCAGAGCGCACCATGCCCTGCTAGGCGCACTTATTTTACGCAGATGTTCAAGCCGGTCTGTTGCTAAGTCTTCAGCTGCAGAATCCCAACAGGCTCTGACTATGATGTCACGTAGTGTACAGGTTACGAAGCAGCGCATCAGCGAGTTCGAGAAGCAGTACGTGCCTCCGTTGCGTTGGTTGCAAAATAGAGCTCTGCAGTGTGCTGCTTCGTTTCTAACAGGTTGGCTCCAGCGAGGAGAGAACGGACGTACTCCGACCGTGCCTCAGAACAAAGGTCGTAAACCGCACAGCTGCAGCAAGCGTCAGCGATGCAGACAGGTGCGTACATTGAGGGGAATGGGGATATTGGCTACATTGTGGACAATGTGATGCTTCAGCCTAAGCATCGTTTTTTTCTGGAATGCATTCGGGCAGGCCGTTCCATTCTGCCGAGGCTTGCAAACGAAGGGGACGCAGAGCGATTCGAAGACTTGGCCGCCCTCATTCAGTCGTTTGCGAGTGCCATTTCCACGAGTCCTGAGCCTCCCACGGTCCCACGACCAGGTCGTTGCTGCCATCGGATCTGGAGAGGCAGAAACATCAAGTCGCCGGCCGATGTGTCCGTAGAATGAAATCTGGGTTGTGTGAACAGGTGGATCGTTTGCCTGGTCTCGCAAGATCAGCCAAGACCTCGGATATGCTTGAAGCAGTGAATGTCTTGGTGGAGGCCAAGCCCCGTCCATGCCAAATCTCTGTCCCTGCCACTGCTTTTCAAGGATGCTTCAGTCTCAGAATAGGAACCTTGAACCCTCATGGGAATCCGCTTGCAGGCCCCGCGCAACCTCATGAGCTAAAGAGCTAAAGCCAAAACAGATAATGAGAATCTCAAATCTTGGAGAAAAGCTAGATTCGTGATCCTGATGCGGAGCCTGCGTGCCATGCTACTAGTGGACTGTGAGGAAGGCTGAAGACTGCGGCTCAACGGCTCAAATGAGCGAAGATCACCAAAGCAGCCGCGATCTGATTCGGTGATCTGAGAGCCGTCTCTCCCTTCCCCTCAACATGATTTGTAGCAAACACCAGCAGACTTGTGCAAGGCAGCCCTGGGGAAACCACACCATTTATCAAGCTGAATGTACCGAGAATCGCATTGAAAGACTTCATCAATGCAAACCGTAGGAGGGACGGTTCACGCTGCCCCCATCCGCGGCCCCGATAGCACCACGAGAATGCAGTGAACACGTCCGAAAAGCACCGTAAAAGACGCCTATGGGAAACGAATCCGGTATGAGGGTCTCGGGACAGAGCGGTTTCATACACATCTTCATCGTTTCTCTGCTTTTGCTGGTCTGCGTTCGCCGAGCAAAAACGGCACCTCTTGAGCTTATCCGCGCCACAGCGGCGACATGTGCCCCAAGCTCTGATGTCGATTCGTCACCCCACCGGCCGTAAGTGCCATCTGACTGCGGAGCGGTTTCTGGCGCTAGAAGTATGTGCGGAAAGCTCTGTTCGGGGTTTCCACCGGACCGTACCAAGGGCAAAGGTTCTGCCCAGGCGAAGAAGAGGCTCGTCTTGGCGCCAATCTGAAATGGCTGAGTCACAACATGATTGAAAAACTCGGCGAGGCAACGCAAGGCGGCCAAGGAAGCTTCGGAGGATTGGCTGCTGTAGAACTCTTGCAAGAGTTCGTAGAGTCCCAGAGGCGTAGAGTGTAGATTGCAGAGGCCAAGCGGACAGAAGCACCAAAGCGGGGAATCAGCCGCGGCCTCGGTCCGTTTTTCGATGGTCATAATGTTGCCCCGGAGCTTTTCAGCTCACAAGGTGACTTGGCGAGCGCTATCCGTTCTCGTCAGGAGCGAACTTGCTCGTGCCGCAGGTAGGCGTAGCCTTGCCGCTCTCGGAATGTTGAAGCATACCTCTACTTCCATTGGGCCGCCACAGCCAGAGTTCTTTACGTGATTCTACCATCAACCATTTTAGTGCTTTGAAAGGGTCTCAACCTGGCATCGGAACAGCTGCATGAGACCTGCCTCGTGCACCTTCTCGTCTTTTTCCGCTTCCTCTCATAGCTGGCCGCAGCCTGTCTGGATTCAACTTTGTACTCGTTTTCTAAATGTTTTGCAGAACTTCTCTTTGCACATGCTGTAGTTCCTGCTGGCAGATTGTGTGCAAGGTTTGAGCACTCAATAAACACTATCCTCAAAAAAGAAACGTGGATCATGTGGACTGGACGGGCCGGGAAGGAATCGGAGCATCGGAGGTCGGAATCTGATCTTGCAAACCAGGAGACGTCTCAAGGCTTCCTGGCTCAGCTGGAAGAGAGGCCGAAAGAGCGAAGCGACACGAGCTGCAGCTATTCTTTGCTTAGCAACCGCAGCCTAGTGGGAGTTTGCTTTGCCTGACAAGTTGAGTCCATGGGACGCCTTGCCTGCCATGATTTGCTTTTGAGTGTGCACAGGTACAGCTCTGGCACGAAACGGCCGCGAACAGCCAAGAAACGACCGGCAGCCGCATGACAAGAAAAACGTAGTTGATGCTGGTGACGCTTTCCACATTGGCCGATCAGTTCACCCGCTGCGTATTGCAAATGCATCTGTGCAGGCGACAGCTCGGGGAGTCCGTACTGTTCGTGATTGTTCGTGTTGCAGCTAGCAGCTAGCATCAACATAGTCTGGATCGGAAGTATGTTGCTGTCTACACCTTGGCTCTGCAGCTTTGCACGCACTAATTCGAAATATGCGGTAGTATCACGCAGATGTAATGATTGAACTAGCCTGAAGCTAGTCGCAGCCCGGTAAGCTGGGAACCCTATGCAGGCGGTAGCTTGTCTTCCCCGAGCGGATAAGGAGTTGGAGTCGAAGAACAAGCTGGATATAAATACGGCTGGCTTCTCGCCTCGTGGGCAGCCTTGCTCCCGCATGAGGGGCAATGAGCGGCTCTGCCCAGCGAAGCCTTCTGCAACAACTCGCCGAGGCCATGCCTCTCCCAGTTTGAGAACATTGCAGAAACAAGCATGTAGACTTGCGAGGGGAATCCGTGCTCTGGCAAGGACAGCGAGCTGTCCTACGCACACGCGATCATTGCCAATGCACGGAAGCTTGACTTGAACGACCCAACTGTGCCATGCTCATTGGAGCTCAGACGGTCAGACGTGCACGTGCCAAGGCCTGGCACGCGTTGCCACGAGCTGCGGCAACGCCTCTCGGGTGCTGGCCTGGCGCTGAAAGGAATGCAGAATGCAGGCCACGGCTTCGCTTCGAACAACGCGGAGGTCGCGGGAGGCATCTGACTTTGCTGGTTCCGGTCAACGCAGCCGTTGAGAAGCTCGTCAAGGCTTGGGACTTGATGTGTCTCGCCGGCTAAAGTCCCGACTAGACTCTGGCAGTCCATGGCAGTCCGCACCTTTGAGTCCATGGCCATGGAACCTGCCCCAACTCCGGCTCTGTCAATCTCTGAGTAATCCCTTCCTCCTAATATTAAACGACCCCCTCCCCCCCTCAATATAAAAACTGATTTCCGGATTTTGTTTTAGTAATATAGGGAGGGGGTTTCGGGGCATCCACGTAGCCCTAAACCTCTAAGCCTTAAAGCCTTAAGCCTTAAAGCCCGAAGCCCTAAACCTCGAGCCCTAGACCCTATAAAGGCCTGAGCCCTAAACTTTGAGCTCTAAAGCCCCAAGCCCTAAAGCTGTAGCACAGCCCTAAACCCTTAAACCCTAAAGCCCTGCCTGGTCTCTTCGTGGTCCCGAAACCGCGAAATTCTGGGGCCCGGCAGTTTTTATATTAGGCGGGGAGTTTAATAATAGGGGGAAGCGATTACAGTTCTGTGTGAGCGAAAGCTTAGCAGCAGAGCACTCCCAAGCTGGGCTGGTGAATTGGAAGTTACCCGGCAGAGGTGGTTTGACTCGTCAAGGGTCGGGCGGCGTCGGAAGTGGAAGTCGTGCAAAAGTTACTGACCATCGTTTGCATTCTGACAACCTACAACCTAGGACGGACATCTTTAGGGCACCGGCATGTTTGTGTCTCCAGGTCGTCTTTCCCCTCAAGCCTTCATCAGCTGTTTGCATGGACGCGACATCCTCCGAAGGCCAAGGGAATGACGCCCGACGTCTTCTGTAAGATGCCAGAGGCCGGTTCAGTAAGTGCGGTCTGCAGATGTAAACAGTCATCATACGGGAGTACCCAGCAGGCGGCTGAGCTCCTGGCTGGGCATGCTGCCTGAAGCCTGTCAAGACTCCGACATCTCCCTTCAGCGTCCCGACACCTTACAGTGCCGAGGTGGAAGACGACTGGCCGCTTGCGCAACTTCGATTGCTGGGGACTCCGCTGGACCGCTAAGACCTCTTCGTTAAAGCAAAGCAGAATCATGGGTTCTTCATAGTCAGATTCATTCGGAAGTCACTGTCACGGCTCGCCTTGACAGGAAACACTGCGTGGAGAAAGCATGCAGCTTGCGTTTCTGTCGGGCCCCTAAACCCTGGAAAGAATGGCGCCATAGGCTCTGTGTAGGAAAGCTCTCCAGCCTCTGTGTCGCCTGCCTTCTTCAGACGCGTCTTGCGTGCGTGGGCCTAGGCCCACCGGGGAGCGCCGGGTTTCTGCGAAATTGGTCAGCTCCGGAGAGCGCCGGGCTTGGAGTCTTAGCTTTTTGGCCATTCGATTCACTGCATCTTTTCCCCGTTGTGCGATTCTCAGTCGGCCCGTGGAGCTCCGGGGCGACATCGCTTGCAGCAATGGCCTCCTGCACAAGATAGGGCCCGAGCTGCATGTATTGGAGCGACCGGACGCCTTTCGTGAGCTTCGTGTTGGCAACTTGCGTCTAAGAGATGCAGCAAACCTCCAGCCAGGAAGATGCTTGTCCCTGCCCCTGCGAAGGGCTGGACGGTCAGCACCAGCACCCCGCTGAGTACAGTTTCCGTCTCTGATAAGACTGGCACTTCCTGGACCGCACTGCTGTATCAAGTACTTCTGTCTTGACACCATTACGACGTGCTGCCAGTTTCTTTCTACGTTCGCAAGGTCTGGCAGACATCCGAAAGAGGCATTTCGATTCAGTGCAAGAGATGTACAAGGCTGCCTCTCATGACCCATTCATGCAGCCTTTCAGCGGGAAGGGCGTCCCGGGGCCCGGGGCAGGCGCGCATGGAGGTGAACGGCTCGGGACTCAGCCCCTGGCCCTCGGACTCGGAGCCTCCACAGAGATCCAGGACCTGTGACCTGTCCTGGTGTCCTTGTCAGGCAAGACGGGCCCCCAGAGAATTGTGGGAGAGCTCAACAAGGAGAGCTGGAGTTAGAGGGCTGATGGGGCTGGAGTGCTTGGAGTCTGCAATCCGGAAGGCCGTGGAGAAGCGGAGGACTGTCGACCCCTAAAAAGTGATCGGAAAAGGTGTTTATACAGACGTCTTGTGCATTCAGCTTGATGAGGCATCTCACCTGTTTGATCGTCGGAGAGCAGAAGCTTTTGCTCCCTTCTATGGTGCTGACTATGCGGCTGGCTTAGACTTGATTGTAAGTCCTTTCGCCTGCGGCCTGCCCGAGATTGCCCGAGTGCATGACCAGACAGCTCCGAGGAACCCAGAGTCTACTCAGGCGAGGAGGGCCCATGTCATCCACATCTGCCTCTAGGTCGGTTTTGGTCCTTCGTGCTTGTGACAGGCACGAAGGAGTTGCCGGAGCACCGGGACAGATCCCACCTGCGGATTCGCGAAGAGGCGGATGCTTCTGTGACGGACCGGTCGTTGGAGAAGACGCCGTTCTTGCCAGGCTGTCCCCCGGGACAAAACGAAGCCCTCAGTGCAGCCCACCCTTGAAGAGGTTTGGGAGGACAAGCTGCATCTCGGAGTGATCTGACGTTTACTTTCCTATTAGTGTCCTGGACGTCAGGAGTGGGAGCCGCTGAAGCGAGAAGAAGTGAAGCTGAGCGCAGAGTGCAGGGCACAGCAGGATGCAGGTGGCTGGCCCCCGCCTTGCCCCCGCCCGCGCCCGAGGTTAGAGCGGTTCCGCGAGCACCTCAACTCCCAGGAGGCATCAAAGCACGGACACTGTTTGCAAGATTTTGCAAGAGGCCGGCTGCTCTGTCCGGTCAGAGTGCCAGGCCGTGCTGGCGGAGCATGCTGCTCTGGTTCGTGAGGTCGGGAGTTTGAAGTCTAGAGGGCGGGCTGGGTGTCTGCACCTCATCTGCCCTGTGGAGGTGCTGCCGGGGGCAAAGCTTTCCTGGACACACGCGCCTCCGCAAGCGATCATGACCGTGCAGCTGTTCAGCGCGATTCTTATACAACCAGTGACTCGAGTCTGGTCGCTATTGAACCTGCTGACCGCGGAGACTATAGGTGAGTCCGACTGTCAGCCGAACACTCAGTTCGGCAAATTAGCATGCGCTCGCCCGAGAGCTGCAATTTTCAGAAACTTGGTCTTGATACACAAGCACATTCCAGCCTGACCGCTTTCTTACCTGTCGAGGCTGCTGCGGTCCTGCCTATCCCGCCAGGATCCGCTTCTAATTGAAACGGAGGCCTGATGGCGATTTGGTGTTTCATAAGTGTGCATGGCAGAAGCATTCGCACAGGTTCGTGTCGGTGGACGCCTACTTCCGGCCAACAGCCGCCTGTGTGAAAGAGTGCGCTTGCAGCTGCTTGCAGCTTGAGGGAGGAAGAGGAAGAGGTCGGAGCTCCCCTGCATACAGGTCCCTCCTGATGGTGCAAGACTGCCGGCAACCTTTACCATCATCATGTAGCAGCCTCAGCCGTCGGATTAGACTAGACTCCGCAAAAAGAGATGATTTGGTAAGAGGCAGTTCAGACGAGGCCCGAAGCAATGCCGGGCGGTTCAGCGTTTCCGCTCTGGAAGGCAGGCGACAGGGCTTTAGGGGGCCCGGTGAAAGGGCCGCAGCCAGGCGCCCGAAGAGGAGGAGCTCCCCAAAGGCCTTGAGACGAGGCCGCACCTCGAGGCCGAGCCCTGAGAGCCGCCTGGTTGGCGCAAACCGACGATTGCCATGCGGTGCCTTGGGCGGTGCCCTGAGGCCAGTCTGCTGCTGGAGCAAGTTGCCGATCATTTGCAGTCCCTCACCCGGACCTTGTGAGCCATGAGCCATGTTTCAATCAAAAGTCGATTGCCCACGGTCTCCGGTGCTGAGCCATTATAAGCTCTCAAAACCTGGGGTTGTTCCGTGTTCTCTGGCTTGCCGGAAAACCGTAGACCATAGATGCTGTTGCTGGGGAAGCCATGCGAGGATGAGACTGCCCAGGTAGCACGAGCAGCAGTAGAGGCCACGCGGTACACATCCGGGACGGGATTTCGATTCCCGGCTTCCCGACGAAATGCCGTTTCTGCACCGGTTGCAAGTCTGCCAGCCGCGAGTCAGCCTGTTGTGAAGAAAGACGAGGCGAAAAAAGCAAAACCTCTTCCACAAATCGCTCTTGAACCAGATGAGGGCATGGAGGTGATTACTGATTGGGATGGGCCTGAGAATCTGGAGACATCCGACCTTTCTGCTCCTTCCTTGATGAGAGCAGCCGCTGCGCAAGCTGTGCAGAAAGCTCCGATAGAGCCGTTGGCTTCCGTGCTCCAGCAAGGCCCACCCACCAAAGACTCCCACAGCAAGGCATCGAGTGACGCCAAGTCCGTTTCCTCCGTGCCCTACCCGACGACACGAACCTTGGCGAAGCAAGCAGTGGTGTTGTAGCAGTATAGATTTCGGGAGGTTCGCAATGGCCAGATGTTGATTTCTTTGAGCCAAGGTAAAGAAGAAACGAGCTCCCATTTGGCGGGTCCCGTGGCCCGTGATGCAAAGGATCTTCTCGCGGATGCGCCTACCCAGACCCAGCCGCCTGCGAGCTCCATGTCGATGGCTTTGGGGTCTCAGTCAAGTCGATGGAACTATGTGCAGTCACTTTCAAGCTACAACCTGCGGAACAGGACTCGTGTCTCTGCGAACAAGGTGGTTGGGCGAACCCCCTTAATGCAGGCAGCCATGGCCGGATTGGTGTGTGACGTGGAAGAACTGTTGGGGAGCAGTCGTCTAGATCTACAAGACGACATGGGTATGACTGCTTTGATGTGGGCTGCATGCTCAGCAGTATATCCGCCCTCACAGTGCCAGAGCTCGTCTCGAGTTATGAAACTCTTACTAGATGCCAAAGCCTCTGTGAACATCGAAGACGACAATGGATTTACAGTGCTGATGCACGCCCTCTCTAGTGACCTCGATATTTTGAACGACCCTATCAGGGAAGATGAGGTCGAAGAGTCCAAGCTGCATGCCCTCAAGCTGCTCTTGGAGAGACGTCGCGGCCCCATTGACTGTCGCGCATGGGAGTAGTGCATGGAACGCAGGCATGCTTGCGTTTCGCGTGCGCCGTAGCCAAGGAGCGGATGTAAACCACACGTCTGCAGACGGCTTGACGCCCCTCATGCTCACAGCGGCTTGCGGAAGCACCACGGCATTGCAGTTGCTGCTGGGAGCACGGGCAAAGCTCGAGCTGAAGGACAGACAGCATCATGCGTGTAAGAGCTTCCCAAAGTGTTGCTGTAGTAGTGTGTGCAGGATCAGCATGGATGGACCGCTCTTCTTTGGGCCGCAAGCGAGGGGCGCTTTGACATGATCCGCTGCTTAAGTCGGGCTGGAGCGAAAGTGGCACCCGAAGATCGTGCCTCGACAACCTTTCAAGCAGATGTTGCGTGTAGAATCCAGAACAGGCTTTTGGTCTGCGGCCATCAGTCTCTGAGGTCCCTTTTGGGAGGATGCTCTGCGAGAAGTCCAGACCGAACAAACTGCTCAGTCACAGAAAGCTTTTGCTCTCCAAGCTTGCCTGGCCGAGTCAGATTCGACATCGGATTCGCGATGAGTTCCACCACGTGACACCATTGCTGCAGAAGGCTGAACCAGAGCAGAACAGAATTCGAGTTTTGTGCAAGCTTCGTCTCTGTCATCTCTGGCTCTCTCTCCCTCATTCTGTTACTCTTTCGCTCTTTCCCTCCCCTTGCACGCTCTGCTTTTCCATCCCCGGCGCCCTGCTTCGAATTGGCGGCGTCGCTCTTCACTTTGAGTCTCGAGCATGTGATCTTGACTTCACTTGTCATGGAGTCAGAACTAGACTGTTCCGTCTGCGTGTGAAGAGCTGCTGTCAGCTTTTGGCGCCTTTTCACTTCTCGGCTTCAAGTCGATGCAGATTCCACCAAGCTGGCTGCATTCGACCCTACTTGGCCGACGCCAGAAAGCTCTGCATGTGAGTCAGTGCAATGCAAAACCCGGATTTCAGGACTTCAGAGTGGGGGGTGAGCAAACCTGCCTTGTTCAAAAATCTGTCGCGACAGCGGATCACTAGGCCTTCGGAGCCTCTGGAGTCCCCTGGCGCCGAGTTGGAGAAGCTCTGCGCCAGCATCGCTGGGCAGGACTGGCTCTGCTGCTCTGTCGTCTGTTGACATCGTGAGGATGACGGAATGTGCGCACATGAATCATGAAGGACGAATCCGCGAGTCTAGAGGCCGTGCTGTCCTGGCTGGAGAAGCAAGGCGTGCAGTGGGGTCCGACACCCATCTCATGGGATGCGCACGTCTATGTGTGTCTACGTGCATGCTCAGGTCTTCCTCAGCGTTGGCGTGTCGCGCGGTTCTTCGAGGCACGCTCGTGAACATCCGTGGGCTCACTCGCAATCGTGCATGACTGCATGACCAGGCTGCAGATGCAACCGCTCCAGCAATGTCGCCCAAGAGAGAAGGCCTGTGGCCATAAACGGCAATGCACAGCAGCAGTTTTGGTGCTTTCATGTGAATGCAGGCATGTCCGGGCAAGAGAAGCATCCGCAGGCAGATTGCGTGTGTAAAGGCTTCACATCATCATTACTGTAATGTTGCAACAGCCATGCAACGTCCCATGTTATGCTGGGGAAGGAGTCCGAAGTGTCGTCGTTGTTCCAGCTTCGGATCAAGAAGAAGTCTCTTGCGGCCTTCCTCAACATGCCGAGGTTACCGGAGGACTGCTTGCGACTCCGAACATGAAAGCATGACGTCAGACTCATGCACGCGATTGTTGTATGGAGGAGCACCATGAGCTCCAAGCGTTTGTGGGCCATCTGCAGTGTCCTGAGAAATACCGCGGGAAGCAGTCTCGCTTCGTGGGCATTTGGACGCCGCGGCGCGGTCCAGGCGACACCTAGCGGCTGACCTGCGCACAGGCGCCCGCTTGTCAGAGATGACCAGACTCCGTGGAATCATTCCGGAATGACCACCCTTTGCCCTTTGCTTCAGGGAAGACTTCCCAGCGCCTCGAGCAAGAGGCCGAAGCCTCCGAGCAAACAATGCCTCCCAAGGACTCCTCATCGTCGCTTCCCTTCACATCACTTCACATCACGTCACGACGAAGAGACGATGAGAGCCACTTTCAGTTTTGTCCGCTTCAAAGGGCGCGCCCTCCCTGGAGCTGCGCAGGTCAACTCTCTTGCGGCTGAGCTCGACGTCCTCAGAGGAAGGATGGAGGTTCTGGAGTGCCAAGCCCAGCGGGTTCATGGAACTGGCCCGGCAAACTTTGTGAAAAGCACGTTGAGGTCCAGTCTGCCAAGCCCATGGTCGCCACCCGTCGCGACATGGCAGGACACCCGCTACTAGGTCCCGGTGTCATGTGCCCGCCGAGAAGGAGATACTAGCCCAGAGCATCCAAAGAAGGGGTTAACTTCGCAACGAGTTGAGCTTCGAATACGCTGGGAGGGGCCGGGGCGGGTGAGCGCAGGAATTGAATGGCTCGTGTCACTGTCGGACAAACCTCCAGATCCGACAGAACTTGGTTTACTCACCTGCCCTGAATCAGCATGAGTTGGGCTTTTCATCGCTGTGTCCCGTGGTGTGCGTCCGTTAAGTTGGAGATCCCAGAGGTTTTTGACGGTGCGACAGGAGCTGCTCGGCACCACTCCTCCCGCTCTGTCGCCCGAGGCCTTCTTGAGCCCGTCGCATGAAAATTGATCGCAGCCTGTGCAGCGACGCATCCTTTTTGTACGGTTGTTCAGGCACTGCTGCCACTGGTCCGCGATGTACTTTCAGATGCCTCGTCCTCTTGCATGAGAAGGGGAAGTCAGACCGTGAGAGTGACCGGAGCACCTGACACGAGGCCAGGTCGAAGGCAAGGCAAGTGAAGTGCTCGAAGACTCGAAGCCTTCGTGGATTTTGCAAAGTGTCGCTTAGCGGCTTAGCGACCCTTTCGACCTGGCGAGGCGATGCAACGCTCAGAAGAGGCCGCCGTCTCCGCGGAGGTGGCCCAGAGTTCTCGGTCACTGTGGGATGGCCTCGGCGGGGCCGTGTCTGCAGGCCCTGAGAGCCAATGCGGACAGCTTGTCACGACAAGCCGCTAGCTTATTATAGCTTACGCTTCTGAGCACCACTTGCAAGCAGCTTGTCCAAGTGCAGAATATGCAGCCTGCAAGGTCCTCTGGGCAGAATCGCAGGCGGCTTTCGCGGTCGAAGCAGTTCTGACGTTCGGTTCTATTCCAAGATGAGGCTGCGGCCAAAGAAGCAGAAGCAGATGTCCTGCAAGCAGAGCTGCAAGAGCAGGCAAGAGCAGACGAAACGGACAGTGACGTGAACACATGGACCCATCTTGATAGTTGCATCCTCCTATAGAGGCACAGCATCTTCGTGACCTGGAGATGGAGCGGGCTCAAGGTTCCGCAGTGGAGCGGTGGAGCACGGTGCTGACTCGCGGTGTTCCACCGGCTACGAGGCGAAAAGAGGGCTCGAGCGAAGCAGGCCCTCGTCGTGGAGGAGGTCTGGAAGCGTGTTCTGCCCAGAGCATCTCGGTCCCTCTGCGAAGCCTTGAGAGGCGACGCGGCAAGCAGATGCACTGGCGCAGCAGAGGAGCGCTGCCAAGGCCGGCCGCAAGGATCCATGCAGGAAGGGCAACATGTGGCAACTCTTCAGGTTCAGCAAGTATGGAGGCGACGCCGAGAGATGGCGCAACGTCGGATGCGAGCAGCCTGTGAACTCAGTTTGTTGGATTGGCACAGCGGCTCTCTGTGGAGTCGCTTTAACTTTGCCTGTCAGGTGCTGCTCCTTCAGTTCTTTGTTCGACGCTGGCGAAGAAAGCGGCAACTGGCCGCTCGAAAGATCCAAGCTCGCTGGTTGACGGCCCAGAATCTCTAAGCGCCTGCAGAAGCCTACAGAAGGTCTGGTAAACCCACCATAGATTGGCGCAGGTCCAACCTCAGGCGAGTGCCGCAGCGGATGCAAGGCCGGAGTCAGGTTATTTCAATTGCCTTTCTTCTCTGTTTCACGTGTTGTCACCAAACCAGGCGCCGTGAGCAGCGGCGTCTCGCTCATCGGAAGAGGAATTCAATCAGCTGTCGGACGAAAAAATCGGGCTTTTGGGGGGATCTGGTGGGATCTCTGGTCTGCTTCGGCGCCCACCACACTACAGAGCCTTTGCTGCCAATGACTGCTTGACTTTTAGCATCTTGTGCTGCTGAAATATCCAAGCAGCTCCACACTCTACGGCTATTGGTACGGTGTGCCTGCATATGCGTCACAACCCTCAGTAAAGTCGGACGCCGCTGGCAGACGAAGGTCAGCAGAAAATTGCCAGTCGCATGGGCTCCCAGCGAAAATGAAACTGTGAAACCCAGCAGACAGAACAGAAGCACCAAGGACAACTTTTGTCTACGCGAATCTCGAAGGTCTACTTCGACAAGAAGACATCGACCTTGAGACCAGAGATGGCAATGTTTCGTGCATGGCCTCTGCGGAAGGATCCAATAAATGAATTCACAGGCGGACTGCAGCATGGCATGCCATGCACCAGGAATAAACGCCACATCGGCAGTGTTCAGAAGTGGTGGGCGTAGATCCCATGTTGTGAAGTGGAGACCTTATACTTGTGAGGCGCAAGATTCGTTCTTGACGTTCCCTCCACCCACACTTGCTGCTGTCTGGCACCGTAATTTTTGCGTCGCCAGAAGCGGCAACAACCAAGTCCCTTGTGGCATTGTGGTGGAGAGTGGGCGTTTCTACAGATTGATTACAGTGTTACAGCCAATCACAGCCTTCCCTGGCTCAAGCACCAGAGAATGTGGACACTCTGTAGCAGGTAGCACCTGACGGGAGCACCACACTGGCAGCAGCTACAGCGGCGCATCCCAGTACACAGCGCAAGCAGCAAGCGGCATGTGCATGGCTCGATGCAGCCTCAAAAAGAGGCATGCCGAAGCCCCAGCTGTCACAGTGTATCGAAGAGGCTTGATCAGAGGGCGACTTTCAAGGGGGGGAGCTCAGCCGAAAGACGGAAGCCTAAGGTGTTTGCGGGCTTATTGTCCATGTCGTGGTGGGTCGATTGCAATGCCCAAGAGCTGGACATGCCGACGGGGCCTCAATGGCTCATGGGTTTGAAGTTGATTCCCCTTCATTTTCCATGTGGGCCTCGGTTCCGAGGTGCACCAGTCTGCAGTGTCCGACCGGATACTTGCAACGATGGGATGCAGACAACACATTCTGTGCCGGGGCATGTAACTCGTCCGATGCAGAGGCAGATAGTTCTGCAATGGGCAGCTGAGCAGCTGATGAGAAGTTGTGGCATTGAGCTGCCAGATGTGCTGCTTCAGAAAGGGCTTTGCATCACACAGCAAGCCCGGCCTGCTTGCTGTAGGATGCGCCCTTTTCTCTGGAAGAGTTGATTACGGTTGGATTGAGCTTGAGTATATAGACTGCTCTCCAAGAGATCGCAGGGCTCCGCTCTGCAAGGAAGAGGGGTGTATGAAGGCCACATGCAGGAGACCTTTGAGAAAGTACACTTGGCGAATGGCGTGCAAGTGCCGAAGCAAAAGGCACCGCCTTTCTTGCCAGGTTGGCGCATCGTCGCATCTTCACCTGTTGGCCATGGGCTCTGAGGGAGAGGTCCGGCCGTAGGGCGAGACGCGGCACCTGAGGTGAAGCCTGGGATTTGGCAGCTTTGCGTTTTTACCTCGCCGAGAATTGCTCCGCGGACCGAGCTTCGGCAAGTGCTCAACTCTACTTACAAATGGCGTTTGATCAGATTGTGGTTGCAATTCATTCGTCTCTACACGGCACAATCATCCAGGTAGGCACAATGCCAGGACTCCTTGATAGAAGCCGTGCCAAGCAGCAGGCGAGGGACTTCAGTTTGAAAGATCCCTTGACTCCAGTCTTCTGGCTTGGAAGCAACGCTGTTTGATATCCTTGAAGGCGTGGTGGTGCCAACGGGGCAGCCTTTTCGTATCATAGAGGGCGTGGAGCTGTTGCAGCGGACCACGAGACATGATCAGCACAGCCGACGTGTGACACAACATGCACGGGAATGTGCCGTTGCAATGTGCTGCCATCAGGACCTATTTCACGAACCTGTACAGTACCCGTCATCGGTGCCACAACTTCAAAGCGTGTGCGCCCGCCTGGATTGTTGACATGCAGACATGTCTGCACTACAAGTAGCATAATCCATCATTGTCCCAAGTTTCTTCACTGCAGTTTGCAGTATCTTTGGCGCCCAGCGGCGGCCTGTGCCGTGCAGGAGGTGGTCATCGGGAGCTCCCTGCACAGCTGGGGAGTGCTTTGTGGGATTCTCATGGGAATCGGATAGCACCAGGCACCGGCGCTGAACCACTACAGAGATTGTCCGTGCTTGCGCTTCGCATGTCGAGGACCCCTGTGGGGACATGCAGGCAGACGCGCGGCTGCCCAACAGTTGGATTTGTCCGACAGGCGACCTCAAGGGGAGCTAATGAAGGAGGTAGGCTTTGAACATGTGCCCTGAAGCGACCCGAAACTCTTAGAGTTTAACTCGAAGCCCTACATACTAATAAACCGTCTGGTTCTAAACCCTAGTGCGCTAAAGGGGGCCTAGACGCCTCTCGGGGTGGCTGTTATGCTTCCAAGGGGCTGGCTTTGGCTTTAAGAGGCTGGCGCTTTCCGTGTGGCCTGCGCAGAAGTCGAGCCCACGCCTTACAGTATCTTACAGTGCTTACTTGAGGATTAGGGGATTACATCACTGTATGTCACTGTCGGGGCTTCTACTACAGGGTTTAAGGTTGACCTGGGTCGGCCAGCTTTGTGGACGGATTGAGAACTGAGGCAAAGTCAAGACTCCGGCTTCTTTGCGGAAAGCCTTCGGCTACAAATGCTGGATGTGGACGGAAGGCCGGAGCGGCTGATCACCGGGTCACCCCGCCGGCATCCCTTTCACGTCTATGCAACCTCAGGGACTCCAACTCCTCGGAAGCGGAAGCGGGCCTCTGGCGAACAGCTGCGGAGGCAAGGAACTTGGTTGGTGGGCCGGGGCCTCAGCAATCTACTAAGTGGGTCTTGTGAGAGAGAGAGAGAGAGAGAGAGAGAGAGAGAGAGAGAGAGAGAGAGAGAGAGAGCGAGCCTTGTCTCCTTGCCTCAGAGCAAAGCAAAGAGAGCAAGCAAGCAAGCCACTGCTAGAGTTTGCCAGGCTGGCTACGCTGCGGCAGAGTGCTGTGTAAGCGGCTGTGTAAGCGCAGCCGGCGTGGAAAACCAAGTTTCAGCGGCTGTAGTAGCTTGCCCAACTGTCCAAGCACCAGGAAGTGAGTCTGTCCCATTTTGGTCCGCGGCAGTGGCATGTATTGCTCATCAAGCTGCCAGCCCTGATGTCGGATCTCGCCTTGATCCTACCCTGGCCGGAGAGCAACCAAAACCCGAGTCAGCCCTAGAGAGTCAAAGTGGAGCCAGCGCAGTGTCGCAGTGTGCCATGCTCTCCCAAGCTTAACACCACACGGAGACCATGGAGGCTCGCTGATATTTCGGTGGTGTCCTCGAGTTGATCATGTCATCTTGCGCTTGCAACTCAGGGTCCGAGTCGTCGCGGACCCAGGCTGGTCAGAGTCAAGGAAAGGGCCGTGAAGGATCATGAAAAGGACCTAGGAGTGTGAGGCGGCGAGGCATAGCGGCACAGCACGAGCACCGAGGTCCGTCTGGAGCTCCGGAGATGACGTCCAGGCCAATGCATTCGGATCGTGACATTCGCGACACGAGTGATCGCAGTGATCGCAGGCCGCAGCCACGTCGTCGAGTGGTCATCAAGAGGAAGGCCGAGCTGCAGCGGCTTTGCTTGTGAGTTGATCGCCATTGGGGCCAGGTGTCGTCCTCAACCTACGAAAGACACAAGGCACTGACAGACTCAGAAGAGGCGAGCCGAAGGGGTGTGCGAAGTGCTGAGCAAATTGATGCAGGCAAAGATGGAAAATTTGGGTCTGGACCCATCTGACCCATTGCCACCACAATCAGAACAATTTGTGGACGTGGCAGAGGAAGCCGGAAAACCTTCCGCATGTGGTCCCACTGGGCTCCTGCCATGCCCTGTCCAGGAGGAGCTTGACGCGCCGGATCCGGAGTTGTGCCGGCCCTGGATTCTGGATGCACTTGGAAGCCCGTCCAGATCCACATCGTGCAGATGCTTTCACATTGAAGAACATGAGCAGGAGTCCTGCCAACAGTTCGCCAAAGATGGCGCCAGCCGGTCGTGGCGTGCGGATGTCCATATCTTCGCCGGGCGGTCCTACTGTGCAACTCTCAAAGAGATGGGTTCCTGCCTCCTGTGACGCTGTACACATGAATTCCGTAGGTTCGGGACCATTTTCGGGGCTAAGAGCCTCGGGAATTTCGGTTTACGGCGTAGGGAGTTAAAGATTCGGGGTGGCGCGGGTCTTACCACGGAGCTGAGAACATGGAGAGAGAGCCGACCATCCTCACACCAAATCAAGCTTCAATCATGCTAGGTGCTTCCGCCGAAGGCCCATTGCTTGGTATGGCAACTTCATGTGCACGGAGAGGTGATGCAATGTCTTCAAACATTTCAAGCCGGTGAAGGTCAAGGAAAGGAAGACAGTGAGTCTGAAGACACGTACTTTGGAAGAGCAGATAGTGGCCAAGAGGCTCCGAGAACAGCCCGTGTTTGCAAGGGCCAAAGCTAAGTTTGGCAGATTTGGGAGGTACGATCGCGCCCTCGAGCGTTTTGCGCAGCAGCCTACATCTCGGTATAGACTTGATGGGCTTTGCCCTTGCTGTTGACACACTGTCGCACATGAGGCAAGAAGAGTGGGAAAAGTTCCGGCATCATGCTTCTCGCAAGCTCGCAGCTTAGGTTGTCTGAATTACGGTGGTCGTGTAGTTACGGGAACTCGCTTCGAGAGCTCAGGACCGGCAGGGACAAGGAAGAGTCAGGAACTCAGATTTCAAACCCGCGTGGCTGGGGCTTGGCAGCTGCTAGCCGTCAGCCCGCAAAAGGCTCGTTGTGACACGGGCAGAGGAGTACAGAGAGCGGCTGGAGGCAGTGGGGATGCTTTGGTAGACTCCTTCTTGTGAGGAGACTTGATTGAGCAACTAAAGCCAGTAAAGCATTCTAAGGATTCGCTAAAGAGATAAAGGTATGATAAACATTGCTCCGCTTTGCTACAGGAGGTTCTGAGGCGGCAACTGGCAGATGTGGATTCCCTGCAACTTGATCCTGCAAGCACCTTTTCACAAAATAGTTCATCGTCCTTTTTACTGTGGATCTGCGTATCAGCCCGTCCATTTTGAATCATCTTGTGCTGCCGGAGCATTCCAAGCTGTTTCGCATGGCGCACCGGGGCAGGTGATGGAGCTGCTGGATCGTGCAACGCCAGAGGAAATCAAGAGCGGTGGCCGGGCTCCCAACTGTACACGGGTCCTAGCACATGTGTGGATTGAATTTGGAGCGACCGAGGTTTCAACTGGTACCATTCTCTTCGCGGAGAGGGGACACGCTTCATTCAGGTGCCTGAGCTGCTGCGCCGGAGATCGTTGAGCCATAACCACCTGCTTGTGATAGGTTGGCAATATGTTCTCTGGACTGTACTTGCCCATGAAGTTGCACAAGGAGATGATGAAGACTAAGAAAATGAGCAGCCATGGGTGCAGCAATGTGCAGCACCTCGTCGCGGCTAAAGGAGAACTTTGTACACGAAATCATCAGGCGGCTGGAGTGGCAGTCGCAGCTTACGCTTCTGAGCTTCTGGGTTTGAGACCCTCGGCCGTCACAGGAAGCCCCTGCTCGTGGACCTGACGACGGCAAGGCGGCACCGCGGTTTTGCGAAGCGTAGTCCTGAGCCGAGCGACCGAGGCACACGGCAGAAGCGAGCGGCAAGAAGAAGCCTCGATCGTGGCGGGATGATGAGTGCCCCGCTTTGGGCAAAATGTCCAGGGCATCTCGGAGCGCTGCACTGAGGTACTTGCTGGCCAGGATCCGGAAGTACGGAGCAAAGATGAAGGAGAGTAGCGGCAAAATGGGTGAAGCCGAAATCTACCTTTCACGTGAGATTGCAGAGGAGATGGCACCAGGACAGCTCGAATATGACGAGATAATGGAGCCCGAGGCTGGTGTGGCAGCCGGTGATTGCAGACGGAGCTCACGGTCGGCCGCAAGGTTAAGGCGCTGCGGCCTGTAGAGGCTGAGATGCAAGAAGGCCGGCGTACCACATGTTTATGCTGGAGACGTGTCAGGGATCTGTCTCAGCAGGCATGGTGGAGGAAGATCTTATGGCAGCTCTGCTGGAAGAGGGTGCTGCTGACAACACCATGCCGCTCGAGCAGGAACACGAGATGCAGCACGAGCAAACGCTCGTCTCCGGAATCATCTGGCCTCAGATGGTATTTCCATTCTTGCAGGAGCCTTTGGCAAGCGCTGCCTTCGTGGCGGCATTCTCAGTGCATCAATGTCTCAGCGCTATGTGGTACTGATCAACTGAGCCAAGGCACCCATTGAAGGTCCAAATGCCGAGGCATGCAAGAGTCCTTTCGCATGCAGATGTGAGTTGGTCGCAGGTCATTTGAACGGTTTACGCCTTATCATGCATCATGTGCTAAGGAAGGCACAGTAGCGTGCAATGTAATTACTTACCAGTACGGTCAGTAACTCTATACACATGCGTAGTCACACGCATCCAAGGACCTTGTTTACCTACCGGCCGAAGTGTCCCACCCAGCCACCCAGCCACCCAGAGCCTGCGCATGCATGCATACATGCATACATGCATGCATACGTTCATACGTGCATACATACATGCAGTTGCAAATCCCGACATGCACACATACTATACGGACGGACGGGTGGACATTGGATCAGCAATGTTGGGTACGTGCTGGCGTTCGTTGCGCTGTCGGACCAAGGTAACGAGTTGTCGATGGGTGAGGGAAGTGTGTATGTATGCCAGCATGCTAGCAGCTAGCATGCATGATCTTACATGTGTATGCATGGGTCGATTGTAGATGTCAGTGTGTATATATAATAGTATCCGGATAGATGTACACATGTACTGCTTGTGCTGCTGCCTTCGGCGCGTGCGGCTTGCTATTCTTGCATCTCTTCACTCGAGTGACGAAGGTGACTCCGGCTCGGTTGCACTTTCAGGCAGATGCCAAGACGTCCGCCCCCCGAAATGACCTCCTGAGCTTCCGAAAGTTCGGCTTCCAGCATCTAGTGGCCAGCACAGATCGTGTAAGAAATCAGGACCTGCACGAGGACTATTCGCCTCAGAAATACTGGCTCGGCTGCGATCCAGCTACGCAGCTGCACTGATGCGAAAACGAGGCTGCAGTTTGCATTGTTCTGTGCTCGGACAGGCACAAAACGGGGAAGGGATCGTAGGCATGTCGTGCGGCGTTTGCGTGAACCTGTCGGCGGTGAAGTTGCAGTGCCTAGGTTCGAGTGGGTGCAGAACGCTCCGCAGCAAGGTTTTCAGGCGGGAGAAGCTTCTCTGCAAACCTGCCATGAGTGCTTTGCACCTGAGTTTTTGGTATTTGTCATTGGGCTCAGAGAGAACTCGCTTCCTCACATAGTCTATTCGCCGGGTCCGAACCCTTCCCGCATGCGTAAGCACATCGAGCATGTCTCATGTTTCCGTGGGAGTTGAGTGTTTGGCCGCACCTGCAAGAGACTTGAGAGAAATAGCCAGGAATGCCCATTGTGCTTTTGTGCACACAAGGCGCAGACCCGATTTTAAGAAAGTTAAGCAGTGAGCACAATTAGTAGAGACCGGAGGCTAGTCTGTGCGTCGACTCGATACATTGGAGGCAACAATGGCTCAGCTTCATTAGAGGATTCTCGCCATCGCACAGGTTCATGGGCTTCCAACAAACTCGGAGATATCAGCACGAGCACAACGAACGTAACGTGGTAGTACGCCCACCCGACGAGTAAGAGTATTCCTACTGGGAAAGGCGGTCTTCCAAGAGCACTATCTTGGGATGCGACCCAAACCATGGCCAGACTCGAAGCGCCAGTCACATAGCTCTGTGATAAGGCCTGCAAGAATGCAGGCCAATGTACATTCATACATTGTCGTGAAACACACGTGTGTGTGCAGTAACAACCGTGAACGACGGCCGTCGCTAGCACTCTGGCTCGACGAGTTGAAAGAATTTTATAGCCTGAACCTCCTTCGACGCCATGTCGAACCCTAGTGGCGCCGCCTCCTCTTCGACGCCTCAGGCGACGGTGCGCCTTGTACGCAAGGCACCGCCGCAGGCCCCTCAGCCGACGCCATCTCCCGACGTCGGGGTCCACGTCGCCGTCCGGGAGCTTCGCAATGTGCTCCGGAAGGGACGGGAGAATGGCTTTGGGGCGTGGGCCGAGCTGGCGGCGAACCTGGGCATGGAGGACAGGACGGCCCTCGCCGAGCTCCTCGCCGTGATGTCGGTGGTTCCCCCGACGAATCCACCGACGGAGGAGGAGCGCCAGATGTACATGGGGCGCCTCTTCCCGCAGAGGACGCCGACGGCGGATGGGTTGATCCAGGTGAAGGCTGCGCCGACCCCACCGCCGGGCTGCGGCACTACAACGCCGACCTCGACGGGCCCCGGGAGATCATCGACGGCAACTGCTATGCCGAGTTCATCGACGGGTCCCAGCAGCTCACCGACGGCAACCATCTTGCAGCAGAACGTCGGGGCACCGCCCACGGCGTGGGCCAGCCAGGTACAGTGGCAGCCACCGCCGCCTACGACGGCAAGAGGCGCAGATCAAGTCTCGGGCATGGTGTTCCTCGACGCACCTACCTCCTCGACGACAAGGACCGCAGCGGCCTTTTTGGATCCGACGGAGGCTAGGGAGCCAGAGACGACTGCATCGCCGACCATTGTGGGTTTCCCCGGGCTCGCCGAAATGGAGGCACAGTCGGCGATGCCTCAGGGACGGCGACACCGGCCTTCTACTTCGACGCGGCTGGCCGCCGCACCAGAGCGCCACCCGCCGGAGCACGACGGCCCGACATCGCCACTGGGGCTCAAACGCCGGCCACCACGGCGGGCGATGGCGCAGCAGATGACGTCGTGACCATGGCGGCAAGCATGCTCAGGGAGGTGGCGCCGAGGACGGACGACGACGCCGTCTCGACGGCTGGAAGCCTGAGCTCGACGACACGGGGAAGATCGCCGCAGCGTGGTGGGCGCCCGGCCATGGACCCACCGCCTCCACCGCCGGTGGTTGACACACCCCCAGCCAGGTCGTCGTTCCCGCCGTTGTCAGCTGCTTCGACGCCATGGCAGTCAACGCCGCCGAGCCCGAGGGAGTCTACACGACGGGCTCCCACACCGCCGGCGGTGGCACACGACCGGCCAGATTGGATGTTCCCGCCGGGGGCGAGGCCAGCGGACCAGGCTGCCAGCTCGACGGCCGCGCCCGGCCCAGCCACCACAAGGACGACGACACCGACGGGGGCGAGGTCCAGATCGAAGACGGCGTCGGGCTTTCGCGAACACCTTATAGCGACGCCCGGATCGCCCAGATCGAGTCGAATATGACCGACGCATATCGACGACACAAGAAAGAGATGCATCGCCCTGGGGCGAGAGCGGTCGACGAGCCGCCGAAATCGGTCAAACACCTCTTGAAGCCGACGCTCCAGGACGTGATCCAGGAGGAGGCCATGGACCGCGACGGCATCGACGGGCACAAACCCAAGCCCCCGCCGATCTCTGCACCGACGTACTGTGCATACTGGTTCGTTTCCAGGCTGCCCGCCGGGACACGCGGCGCCAGGATTCCTTGGCAAAGCCAGGAAGCCGGTCGACGTGTCCTTGGTTGGTGCTCGCATCCTTGCACATCGCCGTACTGCCCCCACGCCGAAGAGGTAAACGACGTGGATGCACCAGGCCTCGGCCGATGTTTGCGTCCCGTCGTGGAGGGCAACGGCAGAGATCACATCAGTCATGAATGCGCCGCATGCCATGGGCTGCTCGGCGCACAGGACTGAGGTCTTTCACGACGCCCCGACGGTGCCACTGTCACCCGGCTTCGGCCATCGGGTCGGCACCTCGGCGGCAGTCGCCGGCAGCGGGGCAGGAGAGGAGCCCGACGCAGCCGACTTTTCTTTTATCGACGACATCGTCGTTGCCAGAGTTGCTTAATCTCGGCGGTTACGCCGCACGGTGCCCTTTTGGCGGAGCCCGACGCACCCGACAAAAAGAGTGCCGTGCATCTGGAGCCTCGTCCGTCGCGCCTGCCGTCGCTGTCGTCCTCTCTCTCTCTCTTCGTTCGGTTCGGTCGTCGCTGCTGCCTTTTCTGCTTCCGCCGCAGCCTTTTCTGCTTTGGCTCGAGACGCCGACTTGCACTAACTCCCCCCCTTGACTCAGGGCGCCGGTCATGAACCAACACGGCGCATCGTCGGGACCCTCAGCGACAGTCGCCGACTTCTTTCGCGACGTGGCCTCGGCAGGCGGTTCGGCCTACATTGCCACCTTGGCCAGGTTCGGCGCGATCCCCACGCCGGCCGTGAGGGACTCCTTTGCCGTCCTTTTGGAGAACGGCGTGCCCGAGGGCCTCGGTGCCGCCGCAGCAGCCAGAGCCAACGGCGGCAAGGCCACCCAGGCACGACGTACCGAACAGAAGGAACCTACCCCGGGCATCACTGGCGGCGGCACTGGAAGCCATGGATCCCGGGCGACGCCAAGACACCCTCGCCGCCATCGACGCCAACCTGCTGGCATCGTCGACCCGCCGGGCCATGGAGTCGCGGGTGAGGACGGTGGGCGCCCTGGCCGACAGAGGCCTCTTCCCGCTCGACGCCAACAAGCTTCACACCATCGCCGGGGCCATGCGGATCGCCGGCTACAGGTCGACCGGGCTGTACCTCGACGCGGTGGTATGGCACCAGGAGAACACCCTCCACACGCCGGTCACCCCTGGACTCCGACGGGTGGTCAAGACGCTGACCAAGGCAGCGGCGAGGGGCCTGCCTGGGTCCAGGCTCAAACAGGCCCGACGAGCTCACCAAGTTGGTCGACAACACGGCACCATTCGGGCCCTTCAACGCCGGCCTGGTCGCTCACGCCGTCGACGTCGTTATCGTCGCTACTTGGTTTATGCTGCGGGAGGTGGAGCTCGCAGCGGCCCGGGTCAGAGACCTAGGGGTGACCCTGTCGGCGGTGTCGCTCGACATACCCCTGCACAAGACGGCGCAGGGTGGGCAGGCCGACCTTACACGACGGACATTCCGATGCGTCTGCACTTCGACGGCCCACCCACTTTGCCCAAGATGCGCCGCACATCGCCACCTTCGGCGGATCCAGGCGTCAGCGGCCGCGACGCCGGCCGACTTCCTGTTCCCGACCAGACCGACGGTGCAGAGATCCAAGGCGGAGTCAGCCGAGTTGTTTCGGCTGGTGCTGGACGCCGCCGGCTTCGAGACCTGTACCTCGACGACCAGGGCAAGCGTCGATTGATCTTCGGCGGCCACGCCGCCAGAGTGGCAGGTGCAACCTTTCTGGCGATGAGGGGGGTGCCGGTCGCCGTGATCCAGCTGCTCGGCCGATGGGCCTCCACCGCCGTCGAGCGGTATGTTCAACAGGCACCCCTCGCCGTTGCCGCCGGCGTTCCAGCCCAGGCATTGGCAGCGGCGGTTGCGTCGACAACGACGCCGGCCAGCTCCTGACGACACCGACGCCGTCGGCCATCATGGACTCAATGCCGACGGGGAGTGCGGCAGGGCACGCCGATACGGCGGTGCCGGCCTTGCACCCGGTGGTGCCCAACGTCGACTTCGCGGCAGAGGTGCCCGGCGTGGAGTTCGTGCCAGAACCCGTCAGGATGCCAGTGGCCGACGCGATCGGCGACTCGGCGCCCAGGTATGTCATGAACTGCCGCACCAAGATGGTGCACAAGCCGGGGGTCGACGAAGCGACGACAGAGAGATCGGACTGGCAGGCCAAGTGTGGCTGGCCTTACGGCGTGCGACAGTTCTTTCGCCTCTCTGAGTTGCCGCCGGATCCGGCATTGTGCCGCAAGTGCCTCCCGACGGAAACCGTCGACGTTGAGGCACCTGAGGCGATCGACTCGTCGTCGAGCTCCTCGTCCTCCACTAGCGGAGCGACGTCGGACTCCGACTGAGCCACAAGCCGGGCTTGATCGACGGATCGCCGTCGCCAGTTTTTCCGCCGAGGGGTCGCCGGCAATAGCCGAGAGCGGCCCCGACGGCCATGGCAACAACTTGACGACGACCCAGGAAAACCACGAACAGCTCAGATCAGATCACCGTCGAGGGCTCGCGCCCGGAAATTACCGACGGCTGTCTCACCCGTAGCCCCCACTTTCTCTCGAGCACGGAAACCGACATAGGACGCCGTAGGTCTTGTTAGCCATGGCACTCCCGACGGTCGCGGCCTCGATAGTGCAGCTGGACGACCTCCTCGCCGCGGCCGGCGCCAACGACAGCATCAAGAACTACATCAAAGCGCGGAAGATCAC